GACTTTATAAAGTTTTCCCGCGAAGTTTCTCCGAAACGCAATGGCGGCCTTGACATGTGCGTACATATCCCATAATCCTACATTCCTGTTGTTACCTGTTGAAAAACTAAGGCGCCAATTTCAAAAATCAATAAAAGCGTCTAATTTATTTTCCTTGATTTAAGGAGATTGATAATCGATTACTATAAATCATGAGTTTATTTTTATTAAAAAGATCTTACATGAGCCTGTTAAATACTTATCTTTGTTAGACAATTGTAATTTCTTTTGACCTAACTGTTCTTTTCTAAGCATGATTTCTTTTTATTACATTTACAGTTAAAATATTTGAGAACGGAAAGGGCATAATTCATGCGTCCAAACTTTAATCAATACAAACCCTTTTCAAATAAACAATGACCTTATTCTTGTTAGTCATACCACCATAGCGATGTGCATCCGGAAATTTGAAAAAAGGAGGGGGCATACTTTGATCTTGAAACTTATTAATCGAAAACAATTATGATTCCTCTAAGAAACTATTTTTTTCAATGTATCAAATGTCCATACACTTGAATTTGCTGCCATAATAATATAAATTAAAGAACAAATTGGTACTAAGAAATATATTTTAATACACGCCTTTCATAGGCGTCGGAACCGGGAAAGGGGGTGGGCTAGGGGCTAAGCCCCCCCTTTTTTTTTTAAAGATATACATAATGCAGGCACTGAATATTGCGACGTAGGTTTACCCCCCCCCCCCCCCACCACACACACACACACTTTCAAGAGGTTTAAATTTGCAGTGTACAGTCAAAGAAGGGTGTGGTAGGGTTTGAAAAAAAGGTACCGATTATAGAAGTTTGATCCTTCCCCAACCCCACCCTACCCACCCACCCCTTACGAAGTTTACTCTTTTTTGTTTAGTTTAATTTGTTTGTATTTTTGTTGTTGTTTTTTGTTTGTTTGTTTGTTTTTTTCCTTGTCAAGTTTTTTTTTTCTCTTTCAATTAGCCCCCCCTTTAAATTTGCATCCGACGCCAATGTCTTTCATAATTAATATAATTCCTTGTGTTTTGGAAAGGGGGATAGCCATAGAAAAAATAATTCACCTTAAAAAAGTTTGATTATCAAAAATATAAAAAAATGTTTAAACTCGAGAGTCTTATTTCGAAGAAAAAGGGGGGGGGGGGGTGACCCTTTTTTCATAAACACATTTTCTTCGTACATTACCATATAACTTTGTTTTCTGCAACAAAAAAGTTGGGTCACAACCACCCTTTCAATAGTAAAATGTAGGGTCTGAAAAAAGGTAGGGGATACCTACTGCTGATACATGTACCAACGTTTTTCAGTAATTTCGTTTTACGGCCATAATCCTGAAGTATGACCAACTTAAAAAAAAAAACTGTGAATTTTATTTTTACCTTTACGGCTAAATTTTCAGAATTTACTGATATTAAAAGTAAAATGTAACCCTATAATTAATCTCTATATCGGCGTAATCTCTGCAATCACACATGCATGCAAAAGGTTTCTTCTTTGTCAGATTTCTTTGCTCGTCAGTGTCACTCAGTGAGCTGTGATTTGAGCCCACTTGTACATGTAAACGTGCTCTTCTACCTATTTTCATCCGCGTGATAAGCCTTCACCTCAGTGCATGTCTTCCCTTTCTGTGATAACCAAATCGGAAATATAAAAAAAGGATATAATATAATATAAAAAATCATTCTAACTAAACTGTTTACGACAGTTTGCTGAAGATATGATAATTTTTAGCTCTCTTAAAAAATCGCCTGCATGCACGTGATAATCTTGACAGGTGAACATAAGGATTTATTTTACCTATATAATATTGGACTATAAATAGATTGAGAACTTCTAAATTGAAAAAAAAATGTGTAAAGTTGCACCCGTCTTCCACTCCGATGAACACAATATTCAGACACATTGAAGATCAAGATCCAAGGGCTCTGTTAACTTAGTTTTAACAAGACCTTATGATTTTAAATGATGCACAAAGATAATGCCATTATGAATTTCGGGTCCTCTTTTTTATATTTGTTGATGATGTACGATTCATTATGTCGATCGATTTGAGTGTATCAAAAGTCCGAAACTTTTGGTTCTCTCAAAACTCTGATACATGCATTTTGAGTCTCTGAAAATCACATATTTTGACAATGTCTGAAAATTTATCTCAACGACCCCATCTTTTTTATTTTAAACCATGCACACGATACTTTTTAAGGCATAAAAACTTGATACAGTACAAGAAAATATTTTTTGCTAATTTTTTATACCCCAAACATGATACTTTTGTTGTGCAAAAAGTTCACACAATAATGAATGCGCATTAATTTGCATGCTTTGTCCAAGGACAAATATTCAAACAATTTTACGTCAAATAATATTATATTTATTTTCAATGATTGCATTTGTTAAAATATGATTAAGGTTAATTTGAATATAACTAATCAGTGAGTTACAATTTTATAAGTGCAAAAAAGTTCATTGTACTTCTGCCGAGTAATATTCACACTGACCCTTAATTTTCTTTGAAATATTGAGTTTTGCGTTATGAGTACTTAATATCTAAAATAAATTACCCCCCCCCCAAAAAAAGTAATATAACGATTTTCAGAATTGACATGCTTTAATTCTATCCTCTCTGGAGAACAGATGGACGCGCTATTGATATATTGAATTAACCCACTTCAGTTTGTGCAATAACTCTTCTAGCTATAGGTGGGGCAATTTTTTGCGGATAAAGATTTGAGAGGTGTCTTTAAAATTCATAATGAAGTCTCAGGCGAGAACTGTTGTCCGTTGGCCTTTTATCTTCCATTTATGCTCTGTTTATAAATCAGATATAAATATAGGAAAGTTTAATAATTTTTTATTCCCTCCCACAAACTTTATTTTGAAAAGAAAAAAAATTGCCGTTAAAAACTTTTTAGGAATAAGTACATCCCACGACAAAGATTGATAACTCTTTCAAATTCGCACGAGCATTGATCTAATTTGTACAGAATTGATCTTGTTCAATCTTTATCTATTAGTTATTAAAACGTTTGTTAATATGTATTATATGTTCATTTTTACGGCTCTATAAGCGCAAAACTTAATTAAAAATAAAAAAATAAATGTTTCTCTTTTTATTAACCATTTGAAGATTATTTCAATTGTTAAAAACATTCTGATTGTACTCAAAAGTACTCTGAAGTTGATATGAAAAAGACTCCTGAGTTTCTGCTGACATTTTTATTAGTATCTATAGAGTTTTGGAGAACAGGCCTTAGGGCCATAAAACTTAGACGAGCTCACTTTTGATCTCACTTTCCACTATTAATTTCTTTAGAAAAGTGAGACTGGGATCAAAAGTGAACTTGTCTAAGTTTTATGGCCCCCAGGCCAGGTCTTTCAACAAACTGGTGAGATTCCCATTGGTACAAATTACGCTCCGTTGCGCCAGACGTATCAATACAATAAGCACGCTTTCTATATTCATATGAAGCAAATTTAATCAAAGACTTCTAAAGAAGAAGAAAACACTTAATTGTTGTGCCGTTCAACTCGACATTTCGATAAATCGACGACATAGTATCTATTAACACATCTGTTTCACCTCTGAATATTTTACTAGTAAAAGTTGTTAATAGTAAACTAACAACAAAGCTTTATGATAAACCCGATGATTTCAAGTTTTCAATCGTCAAAGTTTTCAACCCCCTTGCTTGTCGTAAAAGGCGACTAAATGGGGCGGTCTTCTCTTAAACCGAGGCCCCGTGTCACAGCAGGTGTGGCACGATAAAGATCCCTCCCTGCTCAAAGGCCGTAAGTGTATAGGCCTAAATTTGCAGCCCTTCACCGGCAATGGTGACGTCTCCATATCAGTGAAATATTCTGGAGAGGGACGTTATTAAAATATAATACTAGTACCCTTATCACCTGCATATGAGGTTTATGTCTCTCAGTTGATTCGATGCCCAAAAGCATGCTCTACGTATGAATAATCTGTAAAATGATACTAACTATTGACAATTAAACAAGGTTACTGAAACCAGGATATCAATATTTTCGTTGAAGTCATCATTTCGTAAGTTTTTTGATCGATAAAATGATCTAGCCAGCAATTGGTTTGAACATATTTTATTGTTAAGATGTTACAACAAAAGGATTGGACACAAGTACTTAATACTTAGAACGTCCTCAATTAACTACAACCAATCATGAAGTCAGATGCTGACTGATGTTTTTCATGCCAGTTGTTAAGCCATATTCACATAATGATTTGTTTACAGGATTTTTTTTTTCTCGTTTTCCCCAATCCATACAAGAAACACACGACACCGAGTGTGACCAGTCGAAACTCAAAGGGATGCTCACTTCTCCATGCCACCCGATCCCACCTGGTCCGTGTTTTATATTATCATGATTATTCATTTGCTTATGAAGGAAGAACATTTTGTCATACCTGTGTATTTGTTTACCTCCCTGATCTGCTTTGACCGATAATACTTCTGCTTCTATTTGTTTCTAATATAAGTATCCCGCAAATGCAACTATCTGCATGCACATTACGACATGGACTATTTGTGAGTAAGTTGAAGGAATTTAATTGTCTTGAGGGAAAATTTTCCTTGGCACTGTTTTAGGAAGATCTTTTCATATTTTGAGAGAATATAACTGTTTTCTTCATTTGATAGTACCCCTGCAGCCAATATGGCAGAGGCATATAACAAATAGTTCAACTGTGTTGTGTACAAGTATAATCTAGTGTGTCTGTATCCAAAACAGTTTACCCTGAAAATCAAGACTCTTAGAAAGAAGTTTATTTCTTCGCCGAGCACTACAGTTAGTACCCATAATACATTTTTTAAAGTTCAATCAAATATTTGAAATAAAAAAAGAACTAATTCTACGGTCGCTACCTTAGTAATTTAACAATGCCTCCTCATTTGTTTTCGTAACTTCCATTTCGTTATGTCAGTGTGTCTCGTGGGTCCACATGTGAGATAAGGGAAGTTCCTCCGCTATAAAGATGGCCTCCCTGTGTTCTACCGGTATCAGACAAGATGAGGGTGTTGTCCGTGTTCCTCTGCCTCCTCGGTGTAGCTACAGCCAGGACTCTACTTCAGCTGGCTCATGATCTCCACGCCAGAACGTTTGCGTCCCTGGTGGCCAAGGCTGGGCTGTCTCATGAACTAGGCACACAAGGTAAACATTTTACAATAATTGCTATGTTTAGAAGTTTGAATAATAGCATACTTTAAATCAGTACATAATTTATATAATTAATATACTTTTTTTATATTTCGTATAAGAGGATGCAGCATTACAAGTTAAAAACAAAACAAAACACAGAGTTTGACACATGTTTCATTTCTGGATATTTTAATGGGAAAAGACGTTGATAGTAACCGAACAATAAAACTTAATGATATCGGATGACTTCAACTTTTCAATCGTCTTCTTCCAATAGTTGGGTAGTGAGGAAACCCTCATCATCTGTTTATTTGGATTTATGTCGCCCAGATGATTCGATACACTCAAAGTACAAACATTTTCTAAAATAAAGCAAGCGTTTGACAAAGAAGCTGATGAAACAAGGTTATCAACAGTGCCGTTTAAAATAAACATTAATTTTTTGCAAATTCTATGGTTGACATTGCAGGCCCGTAGGAAACAGTTTCAGTTTGGAGGGGCACAGTCATACATTTTCAGTTGGGGGCACTATCAACTACCATCATATCATTCGATCACGTGACTATTTCTTAATTGCTTCATTCACAGGGCCATTTACAATATTTGCGCCTACTGATGCCGCCTTTGCCAAAGTACCCAGTGACGTCATGACAAAACTTTCCCATGACAAAGATTTACTCACTAAAGTAATCAAGTATCACGTGACCGCCGGTAGCCAATTAATGACAATTTTTAAAAACGATATCGAAATTGGATCCTGGGCCAATGGGTACAAAATAAGGATAAACGTATACCAGAATGGTCAGGTATATAAAGATTTTTTTTAGTTATTTAAAACAAAGTTGAAAAATTTCTGTAAATTTGAATACTATAGTGTATTATTGTATCTGCCTTTCTGATAACTTCAATGCAGGTGATGACTGCAACTGGAAGCAGAATTAGCTCAAGCGATAACATTGCTTCAAACGGAGTGGTTCATCTTATTGATGACGTCATGTACCCGCTGCCAGAAGAGAGCATTTTACAGTACTGCGCATCCAACCAGAACTTAACTCAGCTCACCTATTCTTTCATTAGAGCAAATCTGCAATATGACATTCAAGGTACAAATTGTTCAAAATCATTTGGTTTTAATTTTATGATGCAATTTTGTCTTTTAATTGTTTATCACAAAAAACTTGAAATTTATTTCAATTCTAGGAGGACCTTTCACAGTATTTGCGCCGATAGAGGCCGCTTTTGACGCCTTGCCCACAGGATTTCTTAACACTGAGTTTCTTACACTAGCAGCTTCCAGAAGTGAGTGCATTTTATACAAAATTACGTTATTATCAATTTGAATGTTATTCTTAGCTGATTGGAAGTCTTTGCAATTTGAATCGTTTTCAAGAATTATTTTTTAATCAAAGAGCAAGCTTGAAATTCAATGTTTCAATATAAATTGTAATTTATATTATTTGTTACAGCCTTGCTGCAGTACCACTATGTACAGGGAACCTATTACAGTGCAGGACTGTCCGACGGAATGAAGATCCGTACTGTACAGGGAAGTGACGTCATCGTTAAAATGCGCAATAGTAAGTTTACTTCTTAACAGTTTTATAAAATGCAATCATGCCACACAATGTAATGATTTTACGAAATGTTATCGTTGACGAAAAATGTAATATGCATATGAGATAAGTTCATCTTACGTACGTCATATTTATGCGACCATCTCTGAATTCACTTTCGGTACTTAGTGAGTACTTGCTAGTATGACATTCACACATTGATGGTCAGGAAGTTATGACATCTAGTCTTAAATACTTTTATATTACATGAATGCATTTTAATGAAACATTATTCTTTGGTTGCATTACAGATACTGTTATGGTGGAAAATGCAAAAGTGATTCAAGCAGACATTAAAGTAACAAATGGCGTTGTCCATTTAATTGACAAAGTGTTACTAGTGGCGAACCACGTGAGTGGAGAATCGGAACCTCACTCGATAGGATAGTCACTGCATGGATAGGATAGGATAGTCACTAGATAGGATAGTATAGTTACTCTACATTATACTCACATTTTGTATATAGATTCATTGTTCATTTTGTTGCTGAATAAAATTGTTTTGTACTTATGTAGTGAGACTTGTCATTTTCTTCAATTATAAATAGTCAGTCTCAATTTCACTGACAAAATTGATTTTAAAAAATGGTTATCATAATCAAAGATGAATGATTCATTCGTTACCAGCGGAGCCAATTTTCATTCAGTGGATATTGTAACAAGTCGACCACCATGATTACTATATACCCTCCCGCTTTTCAAGCGGGGGGTATAAAAATGGTTATCATAATCAAAGATGAATGATTCATTCGTTACCAGCGGAGCCTTCATTTATTTGATATAAGATCTACTTGTAATGAATTCAAACATTAGAAAATAAAGCTGCTTTCATAGATGGTAAACAACTGAAGTTGGCAGGGGTGAAAAAGCTCATCTGAGCCGAAGGTTCACCACTGGGCCAATTCCGACTTAACTTGCCACGAAGCATCCTTCGGTGCAGGATTCAAATGCATACTCTCTTCTTGTAGTCTGCAAAACAGATTACATTCCATTTTTTAAGATTTCAGATTCTAGATGCCTTTTATCTTTCCTAATGAACTGTAATGAAATAAAGTTAAAAGTAAGGAATCTTGATACAGATGACGAAAATGTACATTCTTATTCTACCAAGATATGAGGGAAAATCTTTATGACTTCATTTATCTTTCAATATTATACTTTCATGTAAATTACTTGAATCTGATTCGTCGAAAAACACTACTACCCGCTGAATAATGAAGTCACGCCCTCCTGCTTAGCAACAGTCAACATTGCTTGACGACGGGTGGTATTCCAAAAAATAGCGACTGCGCGGAATTTATGCGCGCACGGTTCACTGTAATATGTATTTGTATAAAACATTCAGTATAATATAATAAATATTGCATGTAGTTGAGTGTAACATTGAAAATTTTCACCCCAAGAAAACCTTGACAATGGTTTTCTTGGGGTGAAAATTTTCAATGTTACACTCAACTACATGAAATATTTATATAATAGTAAATGCCCTTTATTCTTTCGATTTTTTGTGATAAAAAGATCCAAATGATAAAAAATATCGACAAGTCAGTCGTATAGATTGATTTTAATAATCCTATGTTTTGATATTTTACTTTTTAGCTTTCACTTAGGCTATTATTGGGAAAGATCTTGGTTTTATATATAAACATTTAGATTTATCTACCCTAGTTACTGCATACTAGTATTTGTCGGTCTCGGGCCGACGAAACGGCCGTAATAAAGTCAAATACTGTTTGAGCCACGCAACATGCAAAGTGCTCAAATGTGCATCTGAGCAATGTTTTTCCTTTCATTATACCCCCCGCTTGAAAAGTGGGAGGGTATATAGTAATCGGTATTTCCGTCCGTCTGTCCGTCCGTCCGTCTAGCTGTACGTCCGTCCGTCCGTCTGTTACGCTTTGGGTACCCATCTCTTATCCGCAACTCCTCTCATACCACTGAAGGAAATTTATTGAAACTTTCACAGATTCTTAATTACATATTGCCATTGTGCACCTCCTATTTTACTTTTTGATCTGACATGTTTTGCTTTTGATTTTCAAGAGCAAAACATGGACACTGCCATTATATTCATATGGGAGGCGGGGGGTATCATTTAGTGAGCTCATTGCTCACAGTACCTCTAGTTTTCTTTTTGTTTCTTTTTGTATCTTTCTCCATTCATTTTACAGCTGCAGCAGATTAAGTTGTTTTTTTTTATCGAACTTCTTCGAGTGTTCTTTTTGAATCTTAAAACATTGCCTTAACACGTTTTATTATTTAAAAATGACACAAAATTCAACTAATTCTGTCTTTTGTAAGTTATTCAAAAATGTGATATCCTGTATGAGGCCTTATTCAAATGTATGTCATAGTTTATTGTGCTCTTTGTGGTAATCTTTATCACAGGGGTGGATCCACATGAAAAGTGTTCTAGATTTTTACACATTCTATTTATAAAAGAACATGGTTTCCGCCGAATGTTTGAATTAGGGTTTTAAACAAGTGTTGGACTGTCCAGAGGAAAAGTGTGAGATTTTAAATCACTCTCCATTCGAGAAGAGCAAACAAGAGAATTTGTAAATTCTGCAGTTCTTTTCTCTTTCGCCATTATTAGACCTAGCTGCGTGGACCTTAAGCAGTGGAGAATATATGGTAAGAATATATCAATATCTGAGCATGTCCATTTTAGTAAATTGCCGAATCTTGCAATAGGTTGGCGGATCAAAAAGCTTTAATAACTCGACATTTTCGGTTGTAAAATCTTTTGACCCAATTTGATTTTACTGCTTAATTTGCATACATAAAAAATAATAAAATCATAAACCCAATAAAACTGAAAAAATATCAAATATTTTTTATCATTGCATAAAAGTGCATTTATTTACAACAGGACGAAACCAGGAACTATGCCGAATTAATTTTAAGCCAAAAATCGCACTGAAAAGCTTTCTCAGGTCTTCATGTATTTTAGGAAAAAGAGAATGGTAGGGCAGTGTCTAGAATAGGTGATTAATCCATGGGTCTACCCTCCCCTCCCCCTTAATCTAACTTCAAGTGAATGAGTAAAACATGCTTATTCTGCATTTTTTGTCTCTAAACGTATAAACCCACATTCTGCTTGTAAATCTTGAACTCTTTATTCAGCTAATTTTTATTTACATTTTAGATGTATTGACCGTTTGTAACTGTTTCACCGTGTATAGGGGCACATCTGGGGTTTCGGTTAAGTAACTTATGGGGTTTCAACTCCGAAGCGGTGATTTTTTGCATTTGGAAAATATATTTGTAAAAATCCTTTGCTAATGAATTCTTCGGGGCCAAATGACATGCGCACGGGTTGTAAGAATGTATTACCTTCCAATTTAGTGCAATATGCTGGTTGAAAGCGTAACGGATTCTGCAAACACTTCTGGACAGTTCAGTCGACTGGGAAAAGTTGTGGTGTCGCTGATATTCTTTGCTCTATAATTTTCAAAAGCGGACCTTTAAAGCTCATTTTAAGGATGATAGATAAAGATTTATATAAAAACAATCCATGAAAACTTTTTTCACCTTTAACAGTCTCTATTTCTGAAAGAAATATAAACTTTTGTGTCCAAATTCTACTGTGCCTAACGGGGTTTCAAGGTTTGTTAACATAGGGGGTTTCAACTCAAAGGCTTTTTCTATGTTTAAATATTTGCTTTCTTTCAAGAATATGGATTTCGTCCATTTACCACGAAATAAAAATGAATGGTCATATGTTAGGCAAAAAATTTGGTTGTCACCTATTTGCAAAGATGAACAGATGTGAAAGCTCACTCAATAGACATGTTGCGTCTCATACACAAGGAAATAGATTTCCCGCTAGTAAATGTGGTGTCATGTTGTAAATTTTGAATTCAAAGTTGTCATGTTGTAAATTTTGTGTTTACTGCCACCCGGTAAATTCAAAATTCAAAATTTACAACATGACAGTGGAAAGAAATTTGCACGTAGCATTGGGATCACTTCTTCCAACCATAACATTTTACTATTGAAATTCTTCATTGAAAACTCCCACTTTTGTTGCGGTACCGTCAAATAATGGTATTGAAGAGTAGTGCATGAATAAAATTTGGTACTGAAAAGTGAAACCTACCCCCTTCCCCTCCCCCCACGCCTAGCTCCTTCATTAAACAGGAAAAAATCTTTTTAAAAGGATGCTATGTCCCTGTAATGCCATATAAATATGCTTTGTTCCTCTCGAGCGTTTTTATCAGATTCAAAATTAAACCTCGTTCCCACATTTTCCTAAAGGATGTTTATGGGACGCAATGTGCTCTCTATGAAACTGATTTATTTGATTAAACGCCTTCTTTTACATAAACGTATTCAATGGCGTTGTACATGCAGTAATATTGTATACAAATATACATGGAGAGCAGTGATTAAAATAAGTTCCTAAGGAAGTGTTTTTTAAAAGTTGTTTTTGAAAACATCAATATATTTTGATTGATTAATATGCAAAGGTAGTTCGTTTCATAATATAGGTACATGTACATGTACAATGTTTTAAAATTCCGGTCGCTGAACGTTTTTCTTACATTCGATGGGACTGCATAACAGCCTTCGGATTTTCTGGGAAAACGCAATTGTTTATTTGAATTTTATTTTGACAAAAGTTCAATTAAGTGCTTGGGCCATTAAACAGTTATACATAAATGTCAGAATTTCAAATTACATCCTAGATTTGATAGGTAACCGATAGAGATTAAAGTGACTATTCATGCCTGTATATTTTTGCATTCAAAGTATTTTTTTTCTTTTTGAAATCCATTGGAATTCTTATATACGTGTAATTGCAATCAATATCCTATTAAACACACCAAACCTTATCACTGCGCAGTAGAATACATAGTAGGAATTATATGTATTTTCAATGGTCTTGGAACGCTAAAATGCGCATTGTTTTGACTCAATTTAATTAAAATCGATGGAATAATTAATCAAAACAAGATAATATTTGTACGTCACCTGACTCCCTCCCCCCATCCACATTTAACATTCACAAACGGCTCTTACATGTACGTCAGGTCTGACATGCGCTAAATTCAGTAGAAAGTAGAATGAAATTTACAGTTACTAGTATATGGAAAGAAAATTAAAGAATGTAAATGTATAAGCATTGGATTCTTATTTTTGGATTTTTAGCACTGATATAGTACCGACGATATCAAAAAATAAGAATTTGAGTTGCTTAAAAGTCTTTGCAAACAAATCTTTTGCCTTCCATATGGCCATTCACTTTTTCTCCGTGATGAATAAACCATGAATCCAAATCCAAAGATTAAAACATAGAAAAAAAGCCTTTGAGTTGAAACCCCCTATGTTAACAAACCTTGAAACCCCGTTAGATTAAAACATAGAAAAAAAGCCTTTGAGTTGAAACCCCCTATGTTAACAAACCTTGAAACCCCGTTAGGCACAGCACTCTTTGGCCACAAAAGTTTATATTTCTTACAGAAATAGAGACTGTTAAAGGTGAAAAAAGTTTTCATGGATTGTTTTTATATAAATCTTTATCTGTCGTCCTTAAAATGAGCTTTAAAGGACCGCTTTTGAAAATTATAGAGCAAAGAATATCAGTGACATCACAACGCGTTTCCCAGTCGACTGAACTGTCCAGAAGTGTTTGCAGAATCCGTTACGCTTTCAACCAGCCTATTGCACTAAATTGGAAGGTAATACATTCTTACAACCCGTGCGCATGTCATTTGGCCCCGAAGAATTCATTAGCAAAGGATTTTTACAAAATATGTTTTCCAAGTGCAAAAAATCACCGCTTCGGAATTGAAACCCCATAGTTACTTAACCGAAACCCCAGATGTGCCCCTATACACGGTGTGTTTTGTTCACTTTTATATCCCACGTTTACATTGTGTATGTTAAAGTTAAGTTGCAATGTCTCATTTGACCAATACATTTAGCTTGCTAGTCAGAAGATCACTTGTCATACTACCACATTTAAGGCTTCTCTGTTGACAAATACTTAGTCTTGTTCGTTATTATTAAACTGGTATTGTTAATTAATCAATTTCATTGTTTGATTGTGAACAGAGGGTTATAGTTTCCACACCCGGTCCTACAAACAAACAAACACCCCCCATCCCACCCCCTTCATACTTACTTTTTATAACTGACAAAATCCCGAATAACAATTGCTTTTACTTGAATATAACAATCTGTAATTTCAGATATGGATCTTTTCTGTATATTCTTGCTCTCAATTCTGACAGCTTCCAGTCAAAGTGATGATGGCGAACCAAAGTCAGTTGTCATAGAAACTCCTTCCGGTCCAGTTAGAGGTTACCAGGAGTTCGTAAAGAATGATCGTTCAGTCTATCGGTTCATTGGAATTCCCTATGCGAAGCCGCCCGTGGGAAACCTCAGGTTCCGGAAACCAGAACCGGTCGAAAGATGGACGGAAGTAAAGGGTATTTCGGAGCTTCATGGACCGGCGTGCATGCAACAAGATATTGGAATGGAGATGGGGTATATCCCAGAATATTCCGAAGACTGCCTTCAACTGAATGTGTACGTTCCGGGGGAAGTTTCTCCTAAAAACAGTCTATCAGTAATGGTGTGGGTCCACGGGGGTGGGTTTGTTATAGGATTTGCCGGTGAGACAAACGGTCAAAGACTAGCAGCGGAAGGTGATGTCATCGTGGTAACGATAAATTACAGGCTAGGATTATTTGGTTTCTTGAATTTGCTCGATCCAGTTTCGAAGGGAAACTATGGACTTTGGGATCAGATGATGGCGTTCCGTTGGGTCCATAAGAATATAGCAGCATTTGGAGGAAATCCGGAATCCGTTACTATTTTCGGTGAATCGGCCGGCGGAATGAGTGTCCATTTTCAGACTTTGATCCCAGCAAATGCCGGGATGTTCCAAAGAGCTATTTCCATGAGTGGTGTAGTAAATAGACAGGTCATCACTCAAGATTCCGACGTAGAAAAAGTTAACATGAGGATTTCGGAAAAGACGAACTGTCCAATGGAGAATAAAGCCGAGTTCTTTGCTTGTCTCCAAAAACTTTCAACAAAAGAAGTTTTGGATGCTGTCAATATTTATGATTTTATGGCACCTGATAACTATACGGTAGAAATGTTGATGGGTCCGTGTAAGGACGATGAATTGATCAAGAACAAGTTGTATTTTACGATGCATGACGAAAATTCTCCGGAAGGCGAGTTCTTTCGATCTTTGGATTTTATGGCAGGAACAACAAGTGCTGAAGGATCGCTGTTGTATTACACTCTTCTGCCTGAACTCCAAGAGACACACAACTTCTCCGTCGAGGAAGGAATTTCACGGAATATCCTCTGTGACGTCATTATACCTGGTCTAGTGCAAGAGTTGTTTGGAAACAAACCGGAGATGAGTCAGAAACTTTGTGACTTTTACACCACAGATGAAGGAGACGATGCCCAAAGTAACCGAGCTACCGACTTCTACGGGGATACTGTGATGGTTGCCCCAGCAACAAGTGCTCTTATTGCGCATGCCAGAAACAATGCAAATCATAAAACTTTCCACTACATTTTGTCTGCAGTAAGCCCGCTCCCTTATGGTCCGCCACCTCCCTCATGGTTTAGAGGAGCGGGCCACGCAGACGACCTGTATCATCTTTTTGACATGCCCGTTCTTCCGGTTTATAACCATACAGAAGAAAGACATAACAGACTCAGTGAAAAAATTATCCGATATTTCTCCAATTTCGCTAAAACTGGGCAAGTATAAGGCGGTTGTAGGTAATCCTCAAAGTAATGATCCTCTCGGGGTGATTTTACTCAGCTGTAATGTGCTTCTTATAACATCCAATGTCTCTTCTAAGTAAAAACATTTTTTCATTTGTGTTTTGAATTTGACATACTAGTATAGCATTTCTGAGAGTTTTTATATGCAAGAGAAGTACGACTTATATTGTGCTATTGTAGTTTCAGATTGTTATATATGTTCTTTTTTTTTCAGGGATCCAAATTCTGAGGAAACTCCTGTGAGGTGGCCTACTTATGACGTCAATAAGCGGGAATATCTCGATTTTGACTTTGAAATCTCTGTGAAGAAAGATTTTAATGTTGGGGCCACAAGAATAATGTTCCCTGAACTAAAAGAACTTCAGGATGACATGAAAGAGGAACTGTGATCCAGATGGAATTAAAAGATAACATTTTTGAAGATTTCTTAAATTATATTTATCTTTTTCACCTTTTTTCTACTTCAATGACATTTTTTTATGCAAACCTCAAAACACGCATAATTATTGTTGGAACATATATTTATTGTATATATACGAGATTTCTCATGATATAAATAAAAACAAATCAAGGGGACTTCGTGCTAGAAGTTCTACATTTACATACAGGGCAACCCTGAGAATTAAATGTTACTCCTGCATCGCAGGGATAAGTACATCTTATAGCAGGACACGTGACTCCACCGGTAGTAGTTGTCTGAGCATGCGTAGTGATGGGTCTTGGTGTGGTTGTACTAGTGGTGGGTCCGGGTGTGGTGGTGGTGGTGGTGGTAGGCCGAGGTGTGGCGGTAGTAGGTCTTTGCTTACCATTTGCAGGAACGACAGTCGCTATGCATTTTAAAATGAAGTTAGTATCATTATGGTCATATTTATATTTAGGAACGTATTATGCAGTTTGGAGGAAAAGTAATACAAACATGAAACAGACATAAAGAATACATAATTCTAATTTTCAAAAATGCCACTTAATTAATATAAAATACCTGAACATGAGCAGGTCATGCAGCCCCGGGCGTCCATGACAACACAATTTGGATCACATTTGCTGAAGTCGAATGAGGGGCACCCACCTGCTCCAGGAATGGACGTAACAGAGGCCGCGCCGGGCCCAGAGGTGGTTGTGGTGGCTACTTGTAATTCAACAAAATGTTGATTTAAATTTTTTTCAAAGTTTGCTAATAAGTTCACCTACATGATGAATTCAAATGACCATATAGGTTTCATAATGAAGAAATAATTTGTTACCAGCACAAGAACATGACAGACAACCACGTGAATCCATGACAACACAGTTTGGGTCACAGGTGCTGAAGTCAAAAGAAGGACAACCACCTGCGCCAGGGACAGCAGTTGTCGTTCCTGGTTGATGTGTTGTTTGCCCAGATGGCGCTTTGGTTGTAGCAGGTGGAGCTGTAGTTGAAGCTATAAATGAAAAGAAAAGCGGTACTCATCCATTCCTTACCTCTCTTTTAAGTATAATTCTGATTAAGTAAGAAAGGTTCTTACCTGCACAATGACAGGATAAGCACCCTTGCCCGTCCATTACCACACAGTTGGGGTCACATGTACTGAAATCAAAAGACGGACATCCGCCGGCTCCAGGGACACCAGTCACGGCTCCTGTTGTTGATTGTCCTCCAGAGGGTGCTGGTGTTGTTGCTAATTTGGAAGGTACATTTTTAAGTTATTGTACCAGTACTCGTATTTAGGAAATATAGCTAAATCATTATTAAAAGCAAAACATCCCTCAGATTATCGTCAGTAATTATTAAAGTAATTTTAGAAACACAGAATTCAACAACATATCAACTACTATAAACTAGTGTGATAAAAATGACACTTGATACTTATATCAAAATCAGCCACTCAAATCACAGGCACCTGACGTTACTTATTTTTCTTTTAATAAAAAAATATACCCCTACCTAATAATAAACCTAGGTATGGGTATATTTATTTTTATTAGAAAGAAACTGCAGTTGTTGCTATAAATATTGAATCATTATCCAGTTTGTTTCAAATTTCTTTATTTGGCAATTGGCATATGTGCCTGACATACTATGTAAAACAAGTTACAAAAATCTATTATATTTAAAATGTGCTATCTAACCTTTGCATTGACATGTCATGCAGCCTTGTTCATTCATGACAACACAATTTGGGTCACATTTACTGAAATCAAAAGAAGGGCAACCTCCCGCTCCTGGAACTGACGTCACTGATGATGAAGAATTATTACTAGGGGCAGCTGTAGTCGCTGCAATGGATACAAATTTAACTCGTTAAGTCAATGATAGAAAAAAAATCTTTTCAAAGAAATAAAAAAAACGACTGAATATTGTTATTTCCCTTTTTCAAAATAATACAAACCTTTGCATTGGCAAGAAAGACAACCCTGTCCGTCCATTACAACACAGTTAGGGTCACAGTTACTGAAATCAAACGATGGGCAACCGCCAGCACCAGGCACGCTGGTTACCGTTCCTGACGTATTATTAGAATCACCCCCAGAAGGCACTGCAGTTGTTGCTATAAATATTTGAATCATTATCCAATTTGTTCCAAATTTCTTTATTTGGGAATTGGCATATTTTTTTCGACAGATTATGTAAAACAAGTTACAAAAATATATTCTTCATGTTATTTTTAGCTTGGACAGATTCGCAATTTATACCATTTGCCCCTGTCGTTTAACTAAGAGGTTAAGATTTTTGAAGCTTGAATCTCCAGTTTTATCACCTGCACATTGGCATGTCATACAGCCTCTTGCGTCCATAACAACACAATTTGGATCACATGTACTGAAATCAAAGGAAGGGCATCCACCGGCACCTGGAACATTAGTTACTGCCCCTGATGTACTAGATTGTCCTCCAGATGGCGCCATTGTCACTAACAAATAAACAACAAAGTCAAGATTGAAGCCCGCTTGAAGTAACCGAAACAGATTAATCTTAAGTAGTAAAAGTACTTGTAAGCGACAGATATGGTTTAAATCAGCATTTATCTTTTTTGAAGTGCGTATAATACATAGCCAAAAATCTGACAACCTGCACAGTTACAAGATAAGCATCCCTGATCATCCATGACGACACACTTGGGATCACAAGTACTAAAGTCAAAGGAAGGACAACCGCCAGCCCCGGGTACACTGGTTACCGTTCCTGAGGTGTTGTTCGAATTTCCTCCAGAAGGCGCTTGTGTTGTTGCTGCAAATTAAAGTCATTTTTTTTTAATTTGTAGCCTGCAAATCTTTGCCTTTTCTCTTCGGGAAAGTAAAACAAGAACTGAAATATTCTTTAGTTTATCTCTTGCGTGTAAAAATTCTATAGGCATGATTAATTGGAAGTTACAAGTTGATTTGCTTGCAATGGTCACAGAATATTTTTGTATATTTTAATTGTTTATATTTGAAAAGAATACAGTATTCTCTTACCAGCACAATGACAAGACATGCATCCTTGACTATCCATTACAACACATGAGGGATCACATGTACTGAAATCAAAGGGAGGACATCCTCCAGCTCCAGGGACACTAGTTACGGCCCCTAGTGTTGTGGTTTGACCGGCAGATGGTACTGTGCTAGCTGTAAAAATATTACAATATGCCTTCTTTCGCGATCGCTTGCGCCTCATTGTGGCGAATATATAAGCTTTAATATTGTGACCAAAACTGTCTACAAATGACGTACTATCATAGAAAGTTATTCATTTTACTAATCAGATGAAAAATATTTGAACTTATGTATATACCTGAACATGTGCAGGTCAAACATCCCTTATCATCCATAGATACACAAGAAGGGTCACATTTACCGAAGTCAAAGGCAGGGCACCCACCGGCTCCCGGAACTCCTCCGTTATTATGATTAGTCGAGGCGGTGGTAGAGCCCACTGTGAGAGTGAATACAGAAACTATGGTTAAATTCAAATTATGTTTTGACTTAAATTTTCATTTGTATTGAGATACAGTGCGTTGAGAGAGGTGCAAAAGGAAAGATCCGCTTATCTGTACACTTACAGTGCTGCGAACAGTCGCAAACAGGGCAGCCATGTGTGTCCGTCATTTTGCATACCTCATCACAATCGTCTGCATTATATGGTGGACAGGTGTTACCAAAGCCACTTCCTAAAGGAAGATTTGTTTTAGAAAAGTTTGGAAATATACAACCTAAAAATTCACAAATATCTGAATATTGGACAGTCATAACTTTTGTGAGGAAGGTGTTTCTCTTCAATGGTACACTGGAAATTAAGCTTACCCGCCGCCGGACATGAGCAGATAACACATCCACTAGAGTCGATATTTAAACAACTAAGCTCACAGTTCTTTGGAATTGATGCACACCCTCCAGCTGCAAGATGAAATGAAAGTACTGAAAACACTGGAAGGCGAGCTTTAATTTAGTACCTATACTAGTGATATTTCATAAACTCAAGTTTTTTTCTGGATTCTAAAAATTAATTTTTAAACTGAAATTAAATATAATAATTAAGAATGAACTTTACAAAAATCAATATTTATGCAAAAATTAAATTTAAAGAAGATTTACCGTTGCTGCTCGAGACAGATCCGGATTGTGAGGCAGACGAAGACGTCGAACCTGTAAACAGGACATCAGAAAGATGTCAATAATGTTGATAACACAGGCTATAAAACGGGACTTCAATGCTTAACTTAAGTCAAAGATATTTGTGTATGAATGTATAATGGCTACGGTTCTTGCCTGTCTGGCAGGTGCAGCGAACACATCCCTGGCTGTCAACGGAAGTACATTGAGCCGGGCATTTTGGATCTATTGCAGGGCAACCATTTCCGTTTCCTGCTAAACTCTGACCTTGTGTGTTGACGTAATTTCCGATCTGGTGAACACCGGTCTGTGTTTTATTGTTACTTGAATCTGCATTGAAGAAAAAATACACTTTTTACATCGATTATCGTTTTTTAAAGCAACCTGTATGCATTTTTTCCAAACTAAAGTAAACGTTTTTGCGGGTATGACTGGTCGACAATTGACAGGGGGTATTTATTTCTCCGTAGTAATCCAACCTCTGCTGTTTTAGAGGGTTCTTTGTTCCAATGGACATTTGACATTAATAAGTGATCATTTATATTCTATTTCTCATATTGTTAGTTCGATCTTTCTTAGGTCTTTGGTTGTTCTTAAAGAGGTTTTATCTAAAATATGCAAACATAAATTTTACGTGAACAAGTGCAGACGACACATCCCATATCATTCAAAGATACGCATGAAGAGTCGCAGTTCTTTGGAAATGGTGGACATCCGTTAATTCCGTTCCCGCCAGAACTGGCTGTCTGTACCGAGATAGATGTTGAGTTGTCAGAACCTAATCAATACAAATTCAAGGAAGGTTACAAACGATTTTACGGCAATTATCTTACATCTTGTGCTCAACATATCTTCCTCAAATGAATTTGCTTTTCATTTTAATTTTAAGACATATAACCAACCTGAGGTGGGACACTGACATACGATGCAACCCCGGGCGTCAACAGCGGCACACTCCGTACGGCAGTTCTTGGGGAAGGTCTGGCATCCATTACTGTTCCCCTGATAGGTGTTAGAGGAAGAGGATGAAGATGTTCCGTTACTGGTGTGTCCTGATCCACCTTAATTAAAACGCCAATGTTTATCAGGGACATTAAATACAAAATTTATGAAGTTTTACTACACTCCTCCTAAGCACCTGATCCCACCTTTGCAATTTCCAAGGATCCGTGGTGTTTGCCCACTTTACAGATTAATGTTTCTTTTATTTATTTATTTTTTGGGGGGATCGATCACAGTCCGTCCGTTATCTTAACTTTATCGTTTCATGAATCTGATAAGGATATATCAACATCTGTTTTAATGAAGATACAAAAACAATAAAAGCTACGGATGCATGCACCATTACCTGACTGGCAGGCGCAGACTATACAACCCATGGCGTCAATGTGAGCACACTCAGCGCTGCAGTCCTTTGGAAAAGGAGCACATCCGTTGACCTTCGGCACACTTCCGGCTCCACCGGAACTTGAAGAGTTTTGTAATGATGACTGATGATCTTTGAAAGTCAACGAAAAGAAAATCACCTATAATGCTTTGAAACATATTAAAAGATTATGCAATTTTTTTCAATGGTACTGTAAAAAATTAAAGAAATGCGCATAGTAATTTTGAAAGTCATGTTAGCATATTACGCCAGTTTACACTTTAAAATGCTATTATTTAATTAAATTATATTTGTTTGGTCATTTTTGGAACCATCACTTTTTGCATGAGAGGCATTGATAACTTAAATGGTTACTTGTTGAACAAGAGCAGATAGGGCACCCCATGCTGTCTAAAGATAGGCAATTCGGGTCACATTGTGATGGGAATGGCGGACATCCATTGTTATTTCCGGCGGAAGAAGAACTCCCTGTTCTGGTTCCAGTGTGACTGGAATTTGATGCAGACGATCCTGTAATAATTCATCAAGTAAGAGAATTGGAATTTCCTATGGAATGGCATGGAAATGATAAAATGTCCAGTAATACTTTTTATTTCTCTGAATTTGGAAACATGATAAGCTTTACCCTGAGATTTCGGACACTGACAGACGATACATCCAGTAGAGCTTATTGCATAACACTCAGTGGGGCAGGACTGAGGTAATGGCGGACAGTCGTTATTGTTGGCCCGGACGTTTCCGGCTAAACATGCGTATAAAAAACAATCTCAAGTCCAATATACTATAAAGATCAAATTTCCATTAAACAATACAATTTTTTAGCATTGAATTTAATTTCCTCAGTCAAATTAGAAATAGCAGACATATAAACATTTTAAAAGGTAATGATACGTGCAGAAATAAGGTATTTTGCGACACTTATTAACGGTTAGACATTCTTTACCATACAGAAGCAGTGTGGCATATTGGGAAGCAAGGGAGGGGTTTTCCATGTACAACTCGGTGAAATAAGGGTTAGCAAGCAAAAGGGAGAGCAGTGCATTTTGATTTATTGTCATGCTTTGTCCCGGACCGGAAATTCCCAGCATTCCACTGCTGTATGAATCCTGGGTAAGCATTTGATTGGCTGAGGTTCTCTTTCGGAAACCTGGGAATGTCACCATAGCAAAACGTGAAACAGTGTAAATGCAAAGAAATGCAGAGATTTAAAGACATCGTACCCTCTCTGTTTGCTGGGTTAGGCAAACCTAGTATTTAAAATTCATATTTATCTAATCCATACATCTTTATACAATATAATAGTAAATGAGAAAAGGTCATATAAGGTTATTAATACATACACATAATAATATGTCTTTTCATTACCAAAATGCAACGTAACAGAATGGCAACTTTAAGTGTATAAAAATTACAGTAGAACTTATTTTAGATATAAAAATTTTGATAATATCGAGGCGTTTCCTCTTAGTCAGGATATAAATATGCATGTTTTATCTTCTATTGAGCATTCATATAAATTGTGTAATTAATCTGCATAAAATAAAATTTTCTCAAAAATCATAAGTGAAAAAACTTTTGAAAGTATGAAACAAAGACTAAAATATCAGAAAATTTCATACATAAATGATACTAAAGACTTACATGCCGCTGTGGATATTACAGTGAAGATTAGAACTGTGTACTTTATGTCCATTTTGCCTCCTTTGGTCTTTTCTATTCCCTCTTTGCCAAGATTATGTAACCTTAGCCTCGAAAAACCGAAACGAAATAATATAATGCTTAAGTGTTGCGAAACTTATTTATTTCGAGGCCAAGCCTTAATAATTTTTGGTTTATATGTTTGTTAAAAAGGTACTTAATTAAGTGGGAGGGCATTTTTCTATGGGTAACAGGTGAAAACGTTTGACTTGGCCTGAATTGATAACCTGGTCATCGACGGGAAGACGAGATCATGGTCTTATCAACGCTTGCAGGTGCGAGGAATTTCCGTCAGCGAGAGACATGCCGTTTGTAAGATACCGGATCATACCACTTCCTAGCAAATTATGATATTACATTAATTTTGATAATTAACCAAAATAATCGATAAATTTTGAGTATAAATATATCAAGAATGCCTAAAACAATGGATAAAAGTTTGATGAGATAAATTTAATGCAATTTAATGCAATTTAATAACATTTCACCAATCTGAACTGTAAATTTAACTGTAATTTAAAATTGTCCAGTAATACTGCACATAGCATGGTATTTAGAAGAAACATAGAAAACGAGAAAATATTATAACGTATTTTATATTTTGAATAAGCTTTTAGCTCTTCAAGAATTGTATAACTGATAAACATTTCTGTGACCTGATTGGTGAAAATTCTTATCATTCGCTAAAAATGTATTTCGATTTGAACAAAAATGTTGACGTATAGGATATTTATAGAATTAAATATTGATATGATATATACACAGAAAAAAAAGAAAGATATTGTTTTATAATGTTTGGATGGCCGTGAACTTGGAGTGTGTTTGGTTGTTCTTGTACAAGATTAACTCCACCCACTTGCATATTAACTCTTCCCCCAGCAGCTGAACAAATCAAACTATGATAAAAAATTACTAAGCAAATTTTGCCTTTGTTATTGTATTATGCCGGGTATTCATAGAATCACACGTTCCATGTTACATAATAAGTTCCTGATAGATGTATACACTGGATAAGATGATTTTAATTGTAATAAATTCAGTAAACAGAATAATGTACTAAAAGGTCAGGTGCCTCCCCCATATCGCCTCCAAGCAGGTGCTCGAAAAATTTGCATGCAGGTTTCGGGAAAAATCATTTGTGATCGCTTAATAATTATTGTTGATGGAATAATTTCTTTAAAATTACTATATAAAAACATTTTATTTTAATAATATAACGACGATTTCAAAACAAAATTTAGTATGGACACCCTCTTGGTACTTGTTCTTGATCTGTTATTTTTCTCCTGTTTCGTACGAGCACGTAAGTATGGCATCATATGCTTGTAATCAAGGACATCTCGTTGTCTGGCAAATGTTATCTGCAATTACTAAATTGTTCACTTAAGTTATGGATAATAATGTTGATCATAGTCTTAAATTATTTAAATTTTATTTGTTTCTTTTTTATTTAATTTCAATACTCTTTATATTGATTTTACAATTCTTTTTCAAGTTTCTATCATAGATATTATATGGTAAATCGAATGAAGATTGATAAGATATTAATAAGATACCACACAATTTTATACGATTAATCATGCGTAGATGATGTATTAATTTTTCAGGTACTAAATTCTTATAATTTTTTCTCAGAAGAAATTACTTTTTTGACAGAGTTACCGGAACTAAATCAATGCCCACCAGAGGACCCTAATTGCCACCCTTGGTGTATAGAATACGTCAACAAATGCCGAGTGTGCCGGTGTAAAAAGGGCTTTGGTAAATAAATACTTCGTATCTAAAAATATACAATAAATCAATTCAGGTCTCTTGATGATAATGATTGATTTGAAAGATATTTTTGAATTATAAATTTCCTTACAATTGCTCATAGCATAAACTCTTCAGTTTTGAATTTTAGACAATCAAGGAACTGGCGACAAAACTTCTTCTTGGGGTGGATTTAACACAGACTTGGGGGGCGGGGGATTTGGAGGCAGTGACGGAGATTCTTTATCTTCTTTGGAAGAAAAATGGGGAAGCATTGGAGGAGAGAGCTGGGGGTCAAAAGGAAATGATGACAAAACTAACATAATCATTATTGAGAAAGAGAAGAAACCGGAAGTGGGCATGATGTCATTTCCGGGTTCTTCTTTCGCGGGAAAGTCGCCATTTCAAATGAACGGGCCCTCACCTGTAATGATGAAGTTCCCTCCTCGAAGAAATTCTATCCCCTCCGGTTGTACACCTAAAAATGTTCCGTTAGTGAGTCCAGGGGTCCCCAGATACTGCGTCACGGGGCTCATCATTGATTGTCCACGTGATTGTGTCGTCACGGACGAGTTCGGGTGTAAATCTTGTCCTTGTGCACCAGGTAGGATTCAAGGGTAATTTTTAACTACTCAACTTCTGGTTTAAAAAAAATACCGTCTGTTTTTGCAATCTCTTTCATTATTTTCTTTTCAAGCTGTAAAAGCTTGGATGCCTGTCTGTGAAAACGCTCCAGCAGCAAAACCTCAGAAAGTGAACAGTTGTATTGGAACCAAACTGTGTATCATGTCATGTAAAGGAGAGGCCAAAATAGGGGAAACTGGTGCAGATGGCTGTCAGAAGTGCACGTGCATCAAAAGAGGTTTTGGATAATGATTAAAAATCACAACATTTTCAACAGAAATGTCTTCAAATAACTTTCAGTTTGGGCAGTTGTTTCATTTTCCTTGTAGAAAACAATCTTGTTCCCAAAACAACAACAACGACAACAACGACGACACCCAAACCTACAACAAAGAACATCATGGAGTGCACTAAACTGATCACGTGTATGATCAAATGTAAAGATACCGGATATGACATAGGAAACACAAAGGTATTTTAAAAAGGCATATAACTGGCTTCCAGTGAATACAAATTATCAGTATGAGAAACAAAATCTTTTTTGTCTGTATTTTGAAAGATTCATTATAGTTTGTGAGTACATTTTATTTCGTTAGTGTACAAAAGTAAAGCTAACAGGCTGCCAGAATAAAAAATTAACACAGCTTTAATCTTTGTTCTTATGAGAAAGGAATAACCAGTTGATTCTGAGGGCGGGGACTGAATGATGGTACCCCTCCCCTACCTATAAAATAGAGCTTTGAGTTTGGGAAGAATTCCTTTTTATGCGATTTTTTTAATAAGGAAGGATATAAGTAATCTGTTACTGATAACCTTGGAAATAAATAAACCTTCACGTACAAATTTGACTCGAACAAAATATATACCAGTCCCCTGCTAACAATGAAATGTTCGCCCCCCATTCATAACTTTACAATATCCTTGAAAGTCTGATGGATGCCCCAACTGTCGATGCAAAGATAAGACATCAAACAACAACAGTAACAACAATAACAACAACAACATCAACAACAATGGTGGAGGCGGGATGCAGACCTGGACAGCCGGAAGTGGTGGCATGGGGATGAACGGGATGAACACTGGAATTGGTAGCGGAATGACAGGAAGCGGAAATAGTATTCTAAACAGTAGGCAGGCGTTTGATTAGTTTGGTTTGGAAGAAAATTAAATGCATGTACTATCGGCCTTTAGTTTGGTTTGAAATTAATTTCTGTTATTTTTTAAAGTATCCTAAATTTGATTATTCTATTCGAGTTTTGGTATCTGTTGTTGCTCTATCAGACTGATCGTCTCAATCCAAGGTTTGGAGTCCGCTTGTAGCTCTCTCCTAAAAGAAAAGAGAAATCATACATTTTGGCCGTGTTTTGCGACGATGTGTCAGACTCGGAGTAATATTTCAATATGTATGGGGATGTATGGGGAAAAAACTTGCAAAATCAATCACTTGATTTTATTACATCTCAGTAAACGAAATTGCTCGTCCAAGAACGAGTTTCTTATTTTTTAATCATTCACATACTTTCAGAAGTCTATATTTCTCTTTTGAGAATTATTTCACACTATACAAAATAACAACGACTGTAGCAAGATCTTGACTTAATTTTATTTGGGGATCCAAATTTGGGGCAACAAAATAATTTCACATTATTAAAGCCGTACATAAATATATTAAAAAATCGAAAAGATTTTATGGATAACCAGCATTACAATTCCATATCTTTTACAACCCCTTCCTCCTTTCTTCTCTCCTTAATTACACTCCCATATTCCCTCCTTTTCTTATTTCTCTGCACCCTCTTCCTTCTTTTTTTGTATTGCATATTTGTTGCTTGTACACCACGTGTATATAATTTTGTTACTAGTATTTTGTTTGTGTTGGAGAGGACAATCTACAATCTATAACTTGTGTCCAATCCCATTGATTGTGTTAAATACAAATTGTTTAAATCAAAATCAATCTCTTTTGAAGAGATTACAACTTTTTCAGTCTGTATTTATGAATTTATGTTCTACAGATGTGGGTAGTGGTACAGGTTCCGGGGGAGGGGACAAGTGTCAGTTTCCTCTGTGTATAAGCGGCAGCTCAGGAGGGGGTAAGAAAAGGGGTCAAGGAAATTGTCGTTTTTCTAATCGATTATAAAGTTATTAAAAAGATATTTTTTATGTTAAAAGCAGCAACAGAAAACTAGTGTTTGTTCATATATTTTATAACTTTTATGTAAGTGTACATTTTATAGATTATTAATGTCTAGATCGAGGGTTTTGTTTTGATTAAGTAAGGATTGGTTATCACATAATAATTCATATAATATGTGTAGTCATTTGCAGTTTTAAAACTGAAAATGTTTTACTCATCTATGTTTTTTAGTCATTATTAGACCTTTAATTATTTTTATTTAAAAAATCGCTTTGTTAATATAGTTTTTGTCTTTAACCAGGTGGTAATCCTATGATGCCCTCTGCTGGATCAAGCGGTAAGTTCTGTATGACTGTACTTTTGAAACTAAGAAGTTGAAAATCAAAAGACCATCAAAATGTCAGATGACAACGTTTGAAAGGATTGTGTTCAATAGAAAGAATTTTGGTTTTTTCATCCAAATATGCAAAGGTGCCAAAACTAGGTGTTTGAAAAACAATAAAAAGGGAAGAACTTCAAATATTTGAGGTAGAAATACGTTTATAAAACATGTTTCAGTAGACTTGTATTTTTCTGGTGGTTTATTCAGAATATAAGGCTTGGAATAAAAAATTGTTTCTTCGTAGGCGGATCCAGCGGCGGGTGTGCGGGTCCGTTCTGTGCCAGTATGACTGGAAGTGGTTCAGGAGGAGGCATGGGAATGGGAGGTAACTCTTATTAGTCAGACGTTCCTCTTTTTTCCCTTGAGTATAGTTTATTTTAAATCATTGTTTTTAAAAGTACTAATTTAATCTCATTCTGTAATCAACATGCATCTTATCTATATAGCCTACCCCGGGTACTAAGCACAGGTTTTCGAACATTTTGTATTACATAGGCGGATCCGGTGGTATGATGATGGGAGGTGGTGGCGGTGGTGGATCTGGGGGGAACGGACCGTTTAAGGCATCGCTGAGTTCCGCCGCCGCAGCAAGTGGAGGTATGGGTAGTGCTATGAAATCTCCGTTCATGGCGGCGGCAAGTGGAGGAGGAGGGGCAGGTCATAATCCAATGCAAGGACCAATGTTATCAATGTGTATTTCTCTCTCTCTCTCTCTCTCTCTCTCTCTCTCTCTCTCTCTCTCTCTCTCTAGAATTTTAATCTATTGTTTTATTTAATTATTTATTTTATTTATAAATTTTTAATAGGTCCAGGGGCGGGCAAACCAACAGATAAGGAAGGTACGAATATCTAGTACTATTTTTATAATTTTATTCTTGCATACTCAGTTTCTTTTATTTGAGATACAAAAGAATAAGAACTTTTTCATTTTTTTTTTCTGAAAATCTTTATTTTTTAACAATGTGCTTGTATCTTTATTTTATTAAGATTACAAATAAAAGTAATTTTGAAAACTCCCATGAGTTCTTTCCCTTTATCTGTAACAGTGGAGAAGGTGGCTTACAATTCGGAGTGTTTTGGCCCCTCATGCTCTGCGAAAAATGGGAAAAGTAGGTGATTTTTTCCTATTAATTATATTACATGTTTGCCATATAATAAATAGCGTCATTTTTAGCTCTACTGGTCAGAGACCAGAAGAGCTTATGCGATAGTAATGCGTTCGGCGTCCGTCCGTCTGTCTGTAAACATTTTTTTTTTCAAAATGCTACTCCTCCTACAGTTTTGGTCTGATTTCAATATAATATGGCACACAAGTAGACTACACTAAGATACGTAATTCTGTGTATCGGTTTTTGATTTGGATGAACGGTGTTGCCGTGGTTACTAAAAATAGAAATTTCTGTGAAATTCTTTCAAAATGCTACTCCTCCTACAGTTTTGGTCTGATTTCAGTATAACGTGGCACACAAGTAGACTACACTAAGGTACATAATTTAGTGCATCTGTTTTTGATTTTGATGAACGGTGTTTCCGTGGTTACTAAAAATAGAAATTTCTGTGAAATTCTTTCAAAATGCTACGTCTCCTACAGTTTTGGTCTGATTTCAATATACATGTATTTCCATTTCTATTTTTTTTTTCTCTATGATAACTGTTTGAAAGTTGGGGGAGTTTATTTCTTGATAATTCTGCCGGAATGTAAATTAGGCAGATCGATAGGTCAGCAGCTAAGGAGGCCTAATACGCATGCAAATCTCGTGCGCATCTGTCTCTGTGTCTGACGCTAAGGAGGCCAAATATGCATGTAAATCTCGTGCGGCTGCCTTTATGTTTGACGTCAGTGTGCGAGGACTATTGAAATTGGCATGGAAGTCCTCGTGTAATTTAAATCTATTAGTCTACATTTTTAATGTCTAAGTCTACAATTTTATTTCACAATGAAATGGAAATATAAGGAATCACTGTCTAATTAGGAGAGTATGCCAGGGACATCAACAATAGTGGGAAACATGGGATAATTTTAGCATAACGGGCTTCGCCCGTTATGCAAATTATCCCATGTTTCCCACCATTGTTGATGCCCTGGCATACTCTCCAAATTAGACAGTGATTCCTTAAATATCTTGGCACACAAGTAGACTACACTAAGATACGTAATTCTGTGTATCGGTTTTTGATTTGGATGAACGGTGTTGCCGTGGTTACTAAAAATAGAAATTTCTGTGAAATTCTTTCAAAATGCTACTCCTCCTACAGTTTTGGTCTGATTTCAGTATAACGTGGCACACAAGTAGACTACACTAAGATACACAATTCTGCAAATCGGTTTTTGACTTCGATGAACATTATTGCCTTGATTACTAAAAATAGAAATTTCTGTGAAATACTCTCAAAATGCAACTCCAAATACAGTTTTAGTCTTATTATAATATAATGTGGCATGTAAGTAGACTACACTAAGAACATAAAGAGACTTAATCAAGGATCATTATTCTATATATTGCTGTTGTAAAGTTTCAATTCCCAATTGCTTAAGTACTTTTCTCTTCCTTTGCTATTTGTACAAACCAGTAGAGCTTCAGTCTCGACAGAGACATCTGGTTTTAATATACTAGTAAATTGTTTATATTTTTTTAATGAATATGTATTTGTTATAACAAAACAAAAAACAAAATCTCTGTGATTGTGAAACACTGATTGCCATTCTAAATTTTTGTAGAATGTTTCACATGTTTCATAATACTTCAGACAATTGAAAGCGCAGCTTTTTTAACATTAAACTTTTTTTGCAAAATAGACACAATTTATGTGTATATTACAAATGTGAATTTTACATTCATAACTTGAATATTTAACAGTGCATGGACTGATAGGAAGTTGCATGGATATGGAAAGATGCATCGCTAACTGTGGTGGAAGTTACGAAATCGGACCCCGCGGGCCGGACGGATGTCAGTCATGCACGTGCAATCCGGAGTGAAAGAAATCTATTTTTCATCGATAATTAGATCAAACTCCAAAATGTGAAATAAAGGGATTATATTGATGGAAAATCTTTCCTCTAGAGAAGTTCATTATAATTTTATTTTTTGGATAAATCAATATGACGTTGGGCGTCATATAAAAACAGCAAGAATTTCATTTGTCGATAGATACTCATTTTCGTTGCTGAAAAACATGTACAATTAATAAAAATAAATAATAAAAGATGAATTTACAATTTAAATTATTTGTCGTGATTCTCGAAATACGAAAACACAATTTTAAGTAATATTGTGTAATTTTAACACGAATAAAGCGGTTTGTAAAAGATAAACAAAATTCTTTTTGTGAGTTTGATGTTACGTTTGAAAGATATCGTTAAACGTCAAACGTATTGTGACGTCAAAAGTGATGTCACACACCGATGATGTACGGGTCGGCGCATGGATCATGGAAAATATCTGTTACTTTCGCCCAAAGTGGGTGGGATCTCCAGTAACAAATAATGAAAAAACGACACCGAAAGTGAACGAAAGGTAAGATCGAAACACAGAAAGGATAGGACGCTGTAGCCTTCATTTTAACAGGTAGACGTGATTGTTTTCAAAATGGGATTATGTTTCGTCTGAACCTATGAAAAATTTTATTGACTGAATATATATACGTTAATTCTTCGTTACTACACATTCATTTATCAGTTGATAATAATATTTCTAGTGAATAACTATTTAAGTAAACTTAGCATAAGACACATCCTTGAATAAAAAGGTTAATTTCTTGAACGAATCCCATTAATTAAATTGAAAAATAGAACCTAATGCATATTACGTAAATTAAATTTTGAAAACGTACGTTAAGATCTCGATAGATTTTAGATAATTTATTAAAAAATAATTTTAGAATGATTTGGTTTTTTAAAAAAAAGAGAGTGAAACCTTGGTACTTCTTGACATACTACTCAGGCTTTATACTTGTCAAACTTTGGATATACACTGAAAAGTTTGAATGGAACAGGGAATTATTAAATTATTTTTTCAAAGTTATTTTTCAAATATTTTGCATGACAAAATGTTATAATATATGAGGAGAGGAACTTTAGTATTTTGTTAGAATTTTTGTCCAATTTTTCATATTGTAAAATACAAAAGTTTGAACAAATCGCTCTGAAAGGGTGGGGATTAAAACTTCCCATTCAGTAATATAATTTATAGAATATCAGACAAAATCTGCAATAAATAGAATATGCAGCATTAAATTTCTTTATAGGCCTATTCGATTTGATTTCTTTATATTTGAGAGTGATTAGATTATCGATGTAATGAATTTATCTGATCAAGATATTGCTTTTGCGAATATTACAAGAGAATGATAGATTATTTAGAGTTATCTACCTTTTATCATTTCATCCGCTAGAGGCGCTGGCAAAGAGCGCCGATTGGTCATGTGATTTTCCGAGGTAAATTTTAAACGAGCACGGAAGAAACATTGTTTACACACCAGCGATCAGTCCTCTCGAATAATTTCTTACAGATGTGTTGTATTTTTCTGAAATTATGAAGCCACAGTAAGTATTTTATTGACATTAAAACAAAAAGAAAATCTTTTTATGAAGGGATGATTGAACATTTTCGACGCATGTGATTCAAAACCAGTTTTGTTCCTCCGTTCAATCTTCAGACAAACAAAGACTGGGTCAGTGGAAAAAAAAAATGGTCTGATACATATTTTATACACAATTTGATACCAGATGATTATTTTTTAGTTACTGAACTTGTACAGTATATGTAGGTAAGGTCTACAAAACTGGTCTTAGTCCGCCATTCCTCTGTAAACATGATAAAGACCACCCTTTGTTGTCATATGTTTAGGCTCTTAAGTTTTTCATGTGACTTGACTAGGCCTATCAGTGACCACAGGCCCCTGAATTCAGAGGCCTGTGTAGTGACAGATAATGAAATTATCATCGTTCAAAGCATTTATTTCCTTTTATTGTGTAATTTAAAAAATAAGTTTGTCAGTTTAGAAAGGTGAAAATTTAAGATTTTCTCCATCTCGTTATTCATTTTTCCTTCATTACTTTGGTTATAAGAAAACATAACAAAGAAGGCCAAGTTGAACCTGGTAGGATGTGTTATATAGCTGCAGAACTGTGGCATTTATTATGGTTTTAATATTTATATATTAGTCTTTGACCATATCGCTACAAATCCTGTAATGCAAATATTGTGCAATTTACTGCACAAGATTTCCTGTGTACAGTTGGAAAGAATTTTTCCTTTATCCAGCATTGGTCAATCAATTACCTTTCAATCCCTAAATCTAGACACATTTTTAAACCAATGTGAGTATATTTTATCCACCTCCCAATCCTTAATATATTTGTCTATAAAGACCAAAAAACTCGATTGTTTTGAATTTTCTGCCATCAGGATCTGACAAAAAACAAGTGAGTTTATTGATCGGTAGAGACAAGTATGAAGGGCTTAGAGGTAAATAAAATATAAAGATTGGTTAAAGAAATTGAATTTGTTTAAAATTGTGGAGTGAAAGGTGATTGATTAACTAATCATGCCAATGGTGGAAAGTACAGAGAAAATTTTGCAAATCATGCACAGAAAATTTTGCATTGGAAATGGCACATTTTCATTCTGAAAATGTTACGTTATGGTCAAAAACTAAAATATAAAACCATAAATCTACAGTTCTGCAGCTAGATGTGATATGAATTTAAATATTCAGACAAATAACAGGTGCTTCTTTGTGCTTGTCGTCTAGCTACCTAGGCATAGATTATGCTCAGTGATGCTGGCTAAACAGTGTTGTCTTGTTACAGGAGAGGGAAAAACTCCAAGAAGAAAGGGGAAGTCGACCCAGTAGAGGTAAATTTATAATTACAAGAACATTCAGGAGTTCAAATTTTTTTTTTTCATGGTCAAGTCCAGGACTTAAAGAGTAAATTTTAGGCAAGTCCGAGGAAGAAATTTCAGAGTCATATTTTCCTATACATCATTAAATTTATGTTACTTATAATTTATTTTCATTTGTTGCATTGAATGAATAAAGACTATATGTATTAATATATGTTTTATTTTTCCTCCATAAACTCATATAGTCATACATGAGTATTTCCACACAATACCAGACTAATAGATTATTGGTACATTACAATAACTTTTACAAATACTCACTACTGAATAAACCATCTGTTACAATAAATAGAAATTAGAACGTGCTGTAAGTCACAGCTATTTAACAAACTCATTACCGTTTGTCATATAGGAGGAAACATGAGGAATTGTGTGAAAGCAAGAGTCTAGCCGCAACGGAAAATAAAAAGACGGATTGTATTTTCGATAATTTCGTAATGTTTTATGGGTATTTTAACGCCCACAAACCCACATTTTTACTTAATACATTTGAGAATTTGCTTTATTTTTAGCTTTACGATCATTTTTTTTAACTTAAAAAAAATATAAACAAGAAACATAGCCAAGTCCCAGGACTTTGGCGAATTCTAAATGCCGAGTCCGGATCCGGAATTTGTTAGTCCGGGACGTCGGGCTTCAGGAATTTTGAACCCCTGACAATAATTCAGAAAATTATTTAATATATATACTGCATTTGTCTTCTGGTCAACTCATGAACAGGTTATAGATGCTACCAAAAATTTCACCTTGTATGTACATGTATAATGAGTGTTGAGAAAGAGATTATGATAAAGTGATTCTTGTGTTTAATAAATTTAGTGGATTTCAGTGTCATAAAGTATCACGTCTAAACTTTATTAAAAGAGCAATGAAGAAATAAAGTGATAAGAGTCATGTATTAACCAACCGTTTTACTTTTTTTTCCCTAGGTATACTGCCGGGTCCGCCCCTTGGATAATCCTAATGACTCATGCTGTGTAAAGCCTCTCAGCACCACAGTGGTTCAGTTAATACCACCAGAGGTAGGACTGGGATAAATAACATCCGAGTTTTGTATTTGGTCATGTACATCATTTGATCTCATAAAACAAAAATCGGTGTAATCGGTTGACATGCCATCCTAATCATACCATGAACGATTTTGTAATATAGTGATTTCTGTATCATATCAATGACTGTAAAATCATGTAGGTTTGTTCCAAAGTTCTATGTGATTTTACATGCAAATTGCAAAGGGGAAAATATCTGACAGAAAAGAAGTATCATACATAATTACATACATCTGTTTACCATGTTCACAGCATGTACATGTGTTTTTGTTATTATTACAGAATTCTTTAGCAGTGGCCAGAAATGGACAGATCAAAGAGGTAAGAATGGATGAAAATGTCAATGTCTGAATTTTCCTTGGGCTATTTTTTATATCAACTCCATAATACTTACTTACTAGGTTTTGTCAGATATTGCTTGTGTAGTCTAAAGGTATTTCACATTTCAATTAAGATTGAAGGTTTTGTTATATATACATGTATATATATATTAAGGTTAAAATAAAAAAAAAATACAAAACCTTGCAAAAGTCTTGCAATATGTCTTTGAAAATATGCATCAATACCTTGAATCAATAATTCTTGCAATATGTCTTTGAAAATATGCAACAATACCTTTAATCAAAACAGTTAAATTAATTTGTCAACCTGCAGTGCAAAGAGATAAAAGATACCAATCCATAATTAAAAATCCACAAGGGAAATTTGTGCATGTGCATGCTCTCCTCTGTTAGGTTTTCTCTCATTCAGATTTACATGTACTTGATCTTCGTGTCACTGAGTCTGCAGGTATATGTGGTTTCTTACTTTCCTTTTGTATTATACAGTACCAGTTCACGTTCCAGTACATATTTGATGAGTACACCTCACAGAAGGCCGTGTTTGATTATGTGGCCTGCCCCCTGGTGGACGATCTCATTAAGGGCAAAAATGGTAAATAGTTGATTCAGTGAGATGATCTTCAGCATTTCAGAGTCAATGTGCTAATATTTGGAAATACAGTGTATCATGTACATTCAGTGAATCACAACACTATAAACACTAAATAAATTGTATCTCATGACGTTTTGAATTTTTAAAATACATGAGTTAGAGTTGATAGTAAACTGTAGACATTCTTCACAAGGTCACCATTAATTTCTTTAGTGAGGATCTAACCCTGAGGTTCTGTTTTACAGGGTTACTGTTTACCTACGGAATCACCTCCTCTGGTAAGACCTACACGATGACAGGCACCCCCAAGGACCAGGGGATCCTCCCACGATGTCTAGACGTCCTGTTTAACAGCATCAGTGGGGTCCAGGCCAAAAAATATGTAAGTCCGACATATAAGGGGTAGCATTGGCCTTCTTTATCATGTTTATGACAGAAAATAATTGTACTTGCACAAGCTTCTTTAGAAATGCAGCCTTTGTTATTCAGATTACAGTAATATCAATGGGGACAAACAAGTTGTGTTTTTTAAAAATAGCACAAAATACTTCCTCTTCTGACAGTAAGTGTAGAGGTTTGGGAGTGAACTGAAAAAATAACTAATGCTGTCATTTTGTCATTTTACTTTGGACACAAAATTTGGGTTGTTTTCATGAAATACTGAGTTATGTAAATATAAGAGTAGGATGAGGTAGCTGTACTTGAATAAACATGTTTTTAAAAGGTGTAATTGTTATGCCAAAGCCATGAAAAATGAAGGTAAATGAGTTACAGTACATCCAAATCTAATCATGTTTTTCCTAGGTCTTCAAATCAGACAAAATGAATGGTTTTGAGGTGCAGTCTGAAGCTGATGCCATGATAGAACGACAAAAGAGGGACATTATACCAGGGATTACTACCCCTAAAACACCCACTGCAAACAGAAGGTAAGACAACCCCTTCATACCCCCCCCCCACCCCAAAAATACCTCAAACAGAAGGCAAAAAAGTAAAACATACCAACTTCTTACTTGTTGAGGAACCACCTCCACCTGGCTTAAACAGAAGAGAGTTTGTCATATTTGTGCCTAATCTAATTTCATTGTCCCAGAAAAAATACTTGTGTAAATTTTCAAGATAGTCAAGTAAAAGAAAGTTTACTTAAATCTATGTGAAGGGTAAACTATCATTTTTTATTAAAAATACATTAAGTTTGTGTGTTTACAGAGGTAACTTTGGTGACCAGGAGAGGATCAGTGATCCGACCATTCTGACCAGTGTGGACGACGACAACCAGTACGCCGTGTTTGTCTCCTACATAGAAATCTACAACAATTACGTGTACGACCTGTTAGAGGAACTGCCATACGACCCCATCACAGGTTACAAGTAAGTCATAGGATCTCGCATCCTACATAGAAATCTACAACAATTACGTGTACGACCTGTTAGAGGAACTGCCTTACAACCCCATCACAGGCTAAGTAAGTCATAGGACCGACCCTATCACAGGTTACAAGTAAGTCACAGGACTGACCCATCACAGGTTACAAGTAAGTCATAGGACCGACCCCATCACAGGTTACAAGTAAGTCACAGGACCTCACATCCTACATAGAAATCTACAACAATTACCATGTAAGACCCCATCACAGGTTACAAGTAAGTCAGGTGATGTGCAACAGTACCAGTCTAGATAATGTGAAATGTATACATTGGATTAACATTTTAAGTCTGTGTATCTGTGTTGTAGACCTCCCCAGACTAAGATCTTGAGGACAGACTCCAGTGACTGTATGTACGTGATGAACTGTGTAGAAGTGGAAATAACTAGCCCAGAGGAGGCATTTGAGGTTCTCTTTAAAGGTACTGTGCTATGATAGGCTGAAGATGCCTAAATATTCAATGTCATATGTTGTGCAATGTGATTTAATGGTAGTTATAACTTATTTTTATACCCCCGCAAACGAAGTTTAGGGGGGTATATTGGAATCACCATGTCCGTCTGTCTGTAGACAAGATTTTGTCCGGACCGTTTCTCAGAAAGTGTTGGATGGATTTGTCTGAAAATTTGTACAATTATTATTCACCATAAGAAGGTGTGCACCTTGTATTTTCATCTTGATTGGATGATTTTTCTGCATTTTACAGGTGCTTTTTTTTCTTTTTTATCTTGTTGTTTTGTTTGGGTCATAACTAGAAAATTAGACTTACAATCATCAAACATTGACAATTTATGCATCTTGGGTAGACGGTGTGTCACGACCTATTTTAAGGTCACTGTGACCTTTAATTTAAGTGATTTTTTTAAAAAAACTAAGTCTTTAAAATTTTAAATTTCATAATCCTTAAAAATGTAAAAAATATATTTGTATCCTAGGCTTATTAAAAAATGCTAAATTAAGTAAAAACTTATTTTTTATCATATACTTTACAGCAAATTCTATAACAAATGTTAATGATTTGAGAGGAATTCAGTTTGTCCCATGGGCATAATTATCAAGCACTGGTCAAGGAGAATTTTTGATAGCAGAAATGTGCATGTCAAATTAGAGAGAAATTAATGAGTTCATTGTCGGGAGTTAACTTGCAAGAGCATCTCTAGATCTAGATCTAATCTTAATTTACCTCTTGGGAGTTGGGTAAAAAGAAATGGCCTTATAGTTGCTTGTGTTAATTAAGAGTTCTTGTGGCTGTAGTTCAGATAAAGATCTTTCAATTGGTGTAATGTAATTAAAACAAATTGATGTTTTAGTGTATGATTAAAACTGAATTAGTATTGTATGATATAATTAAAATTATATATTTCATAATATTGCAATAAACAATTTAAAGCTGCAGATGGATATTTGTTAAGCTCTAACACAGCCAGTTTAGAATTATATGATGTATTATTTGTTTTAATTAATCCCTACACTGTAAGTCTCTTAGAGATGTATGTACAATATTTTAAACATGATAAGAAATGGAAATTAGATCATTGAAATCTGTGTCAATCTGTTAATTAAGGTTACTTAATTTTCTTGCACCCTAACCAATTTATGATTATCAACAATATCTGATGGGCTTATCATGCTGTGGCAGACACTTTATTAGACAATAGTGAATATCACTTACTAAATCCATAAAATATTTCTGAATTGGCACCTACTCTGAAAAACCCAGCGGGGGTATTTGTCCCTATTGGACAGTTCTAGTTATTTTTCATTGCTAAGATGTTAACTTTTGAAATGAAGCAGTCTTGCGAAATAATGCCTCAATAACCATGTAGAAATAGTGCTTTACACAGTTTGATTTGTCATTTATAACAAAGTTCTGAATCACTATTGAAGTATAACATTATAGGACAGAAGAGACGTAAGGTGGCCCACACAGCTCTGAATGCCGAGTCCAGTCGTAGTCACAGTATCTTCAACATCCGCTTGGTCCAGGCCCCGCTAGACCCCCGGGGGGAGGAAGTCTTACAGGTAAGTCCCTATAAATAGTTACAAAACAGAGGTGTCAATCAGGGCTCGACATTAAATTTTTTTCCTACTTGTCCATTCGGACAAGTGACCAAGACATTTACTTGTCCGAACTTCAACTTCTCTTGTCCAAAAAATTTTCAATACAAATCTAATAGTTTCAGTTTGAAAATTAGAATAAAGTCCATTACACATGACATGTGCTTGATTGATTCGTAATGTTATTGTTAAATACAACAAACACATTTATGAAATGAAATTTAATCTAGGCTTTCTTTTCTGACAATAACATAAATGTCCACAATTGACCCTGTCCACATCAAACAGAATCGGTTCGTATCTTCCATGACTTTGGTTTCAGTAGTATGCAATATAGTGAACTTCGATCCCGATCGAATATGAACTCAATATTAATATAGCGATACAAATTGGGATCGAAGTCTGGTTTTTATTTACAGCTTCCGTCTTGAAACTACCAATTAGCTTTCAACAGTCTTTCTTTTATTTATTTATAGACTCCTTTACATTAAAATGCACTTGTCCAATCGGACAAGTGCCCAGCAATATTCACTTGTCAGTATTTTCTTTTCACTGGTACCGGACAAGCGGACAAGTGTTAATGTCGAGCCCTGTCAATACATTAGAATTCACATAGAAGAAGCTTTATATTGCACTGTAGTTTAGTAGCCATTTATAGTTTTGAATTTAATGATGCTTCTTAGTAGTACCATTAGTATACAGTGTATTTAGCCATAGATCTCCAAAACTTACTACAAATGAATTCTCTTCAGAAACTTTATCCTTATTGCTGTAATGGCTCAATATTTAAAAAAAAAATAACACAGTTATTGGAGTCTGACTTAACAAAATCCTGTTCATAACAAGTTGTATGGTTTGTTACTGATGGTAATTTTTGGTAACAGGATCCAGACAAGATCTGTGTGAGTCAGCTGTCGTTAGTGGACCTGGCAGGGAGTGAGAGGACCCACAGAACAAAGAATGCAGGGGACAGGCTCAAAGAAGCAGGTCAGTACATTGTTTTGTCCATGATTGTCTTCTTCTTTGATTGCTTATTATCAGCTACATACAGCTCCAGCATTCCATTTCAGGCGAATTATAGAGAAATCCACTGAAAAATAAGTTTTTTCTCTATGTTGTTTGAAATGATAGAGTTGTCTTTCTTTGAAAGATATATTTTTTTTTCTCAATGTACAGTGTCTTAAATGAATTGAATTCCTCTACATCAGAAAACAAAATTGTTAACTTTATACATAAATTAAAAGAATAGTGTAAATTTCTTAATTAATATGACTGTGTTAAATACAGTAAAACTCGTTTAGTACAAACACGAATATTGCGAATTCACGGATATAGGGAAGTTATTTTGGATCCCCAACTATACGAATTTAATGAATTCCTTATACGGATATAATAACTTACGGATATAGTGAAGATATTACATAGGTCCCTGCGACTTCGTCATAACTGAGTTTTACTGTATATGTTTATACTGTGTTTGTAGGAAATATAAACCAGTCTCTGATGGCCTTGAGGAACTGTATAGAGATTCTACGAGAGAACCAGAAAAACAACTCCAACAAGGTAGGCTCAGGATTAATACTCTCTGAGAAATTGTTTCCCATGATGAGAAGAAGAGTTGAACATTAATAGCTTCTCAGATGACTCCTGTCATGATTGAAAACTTGTTACTAGGTTAAGTTTCTAAATCTGCTATTTCTGAACTGTTACGAATCCATTACCGTTGATAAAATTTTTATCAAGACACTAATTTAGGAATTTGCTCTTAAGTATTCTCCAATGTAGAACAACTTGTCAGCTACAGTCAAACCTGTTTTAGGAGGCCACTCGTGGGAGAATGACAAATTGGCCACATAAGACAGGTGGCCACTTATTCCAGGTTTCAAACCAATGAATAAAAAAATGCGACCAAAGTTGTATATTTATTTTCACATTTATTTTCAAATCCACAGAGCTGTTTACTCTTACGATTTCGCCGTATTTCTTACGGATTTTTAATCCCATATACGTCTCACGTTTTGCTATTAAAAAAATACGGAAATTCGTTCGTTTGGAATTTAGCAGTAATTTTACATTATAATCTGCTGAAATACATGGCTGAAGAATGGCTCCTCGGCTTAAAGCAACAAGTCATTGAGAATCAATCTTTATGATCTGGTCACCCGCATGGCGTGGTGAGAGCGTCTACTCTAAGAGTTGCTCAGTAAGTAGCTGCAGATCTGTAGCTCTCCGAAAAAATATATATATTGATACACCGGAGAGCTACAGTGCCACCCATTGAAAAAACTGTGAATTTATTGCGCACAAAAAAGTGCGCTCGGTTCTCGATTTATTTCTCCATGTTTATAAATCTGTAAACTCAAAATATTACTAACCGTGTGTTCCTAACATATTTTCCACAACCAAACATTCCTTATAATTGTTGTTAATAGTCCTCCAGACCCTAAAATTGTAATCATCGAAAATTTAGCTTATTTATACTGCCATTTTGGTTTCAAAGATAATTCGGTCCAATATGCTTCGTTCAGTTGTTAACTACGCGAGTACTTGATAGGGGAAAAAGGAATTTTTTTGAAATATTCCATTTTTGCAACTGAGGTTAGAATTTTGACGAATTAATCAAGAACCGAGCGCACTTTTTCGTGCGAAATAAATATACAGTTTTTTCAATGGGTGGCACTGTAGCTCTCCGGTCTATCAATATATAATTTTTTTTCGGAGAGCTACAGATCTGCAGCTACTCAGTAAGGACTTGCTCATTACGTCTAGGGTCCGAGTCCCACTTGTGCAACCTGAAGGCCGGTCCTTCAAATAAGAGCGTATTAACCATGGTTCTGTATCACAGTAGATGCTGGCACGAAACAGACTCCTCCCTGCTCGATGGCCTTGAGTACTTGGTAGAAGACAAAATTGGCGTCTTAATGAGTACTAAATTCTTGAGAGAGACATTTAACAATCAATCATCCTTATGATTCGTCTCAGTTTCACGCCCTTTAATCATTTTAAAAGGAAAAAAAAAGATTTCAAGCGCATCGGTGATTTGGAGTTGCCAGAAAAGCTGTGGTATAAAATGACAGAGAACATGTTATGTAACCAAGTTTTAGTAATAAAAAAAAAACAGTTAATCTCTAATTATATACGTCAAATCAATGGAAAACTAAATCTTACTGGCAAATGTTAATTCTCACGGACAAATCTGATCAAAAATACTGAGAGACGTCGATAAGGGTAAACAGGTCTGAATCCACAATTTCAACACATTTAAAAAATTAGGAAGTTTTAAGTCACATGAAATCCCTTTTCTTACATTTCATTTTACATGAATTTCTGAAAGAAATCTGTTATTTTTTTATTTTTTTGTTTGTTTTGTGTTTGTAATTTTAACAGCCATAGAATTGACATCGCATGAAATCATGAAATGTGCTAACAAACTAGCATTTCCCTGATGCTGTGTAAAGCTTTGTAGTTTTTCTAGATAACATAATAGGGCTATAGCGCGAGACTGACCGCTTGACTTGATAACCTCAGACGGAATTGTAATTAATGTATTGAGTTTATATCATGAACATATTCAACAACTTACTTTCGTATATATAAAGAACACCAAAAACACTTGTTAACAATAATAATCATTTAATATATTAATTAAATCATTAAATCCTGAAAGAATTCAAATTACACCCGCAATTATTGGTAATAACTCATCATCATCTGTTAATGTCTGGCTTCTCTGAGGATACGAGGTCACGTGCCAGACGGAAGTCATGTGATCAAACAGACAAAATGGCTGCTGAAAACAGGCATGTTGAGCGCACGTGACCTAAAAACACTGGCCACTGGCCGCGTTAGACAGGTGGCCGCTCTTAAATGAGTTAAAATATAGTGAAAAAATGAACGGGCGGGATTGAAACTGGCCGCTCATGGGGAGTGGCCACTGATTAAAGGTGGCCGTAACAGCAGGTGCGACTGTATATTCAAATTTAGTGATTTCAACACCCCTGCTAAAAAATTTAAACGTCAAAATCGAATCCATGCCAAAGTTTCTACTAGCATGCTAGATAGCAATCTGTTTTTAACCATCATAGAGATTTTAAGAGTCGACTAACTGATTATGTTACGTGTTGTAGATGGTTCCCTACAGAGATTCCAAGCTGACCCACCTGTTTAAGAATTACTTTGATGGAGAGGGAAAAGTCCGAATGGTCGTCTGTGTCAATCCTAAAGGAGAGGAGTTTGACGAAACAATAGTAAGAAATTTATATGCTAGACTACATAGATTACACCTCTAATATAAAAAACAGAGCCTCCAAAGAAAACGGCAAAATTCTAGTAATCCCCATGATTTCAATAAGTCATTTTTGAAAATGTTCAACTTCATGCTTTGTTTCTTTTCTTATGTTTGAAACTTTTTGCCTAGACATTAAAAAGATTTTTAATCTAAGAAATGTTTACTTTAAAAAAAATAATAAGTTTGGAGGACAATTTATTTTTCAGCATGTGATGAAGTTTGCCGAATTATCACAGGAGGTGCTAATTGCTAGGCAGCAACAAGTGAGATTTGACATCGGATTAACGCCAGGGCGACGAAAGATCAACCAGAACTACAAAGACAAGTTTAAATCAGGTTTCTTATCAAATCAATTAAAAACGATCACCTCATAAGCAGGGTTGTCCCTAATAATTGAAAAGAAGGGGAGATTTGAAAAGTAGAAGGGGATCTGGGGGTCCTTTCTTTATTGGAAGTTCAGGAGGAATACCAAACTAAGTGGGGATAACAACATTATCAGCAGGGAAGTTCCCTGGGTCTTAGGGACAACCTTGTCATGACTAAAGACAAGAGTAATAATGATTTCCCTCATAGGAAGAAGGATATAAATAATTATGTAAACATCAAGAGGGATAAGCTTCTAATGAAAACAGTTAACACATTTATTGATGACCTAAATGAACATACTTTATGAAATGACTGATATTTTTCAGAGGAGGACTTGTGTACACCTGCCAAAGTGCCTGCCTTTGACTTTACTCTGGGTCCTGGATTCCCTCCCTTTGAAGTGAGTTTGAACATTAAAAAAAATTTTGTGTTATAAATACAATATACCAGAGTTCTACGGCAAAACCAATAAAAACAACCAAGGACTGATTACTTTGCGTTCTCAGTCAGTCCAAGTGACCGGCAAGTGTTGACAGAGGAACTTCCGCAATCTGACCAAATTTCGTACGAATTCCCCGTAACCTTTCAAACTAGTTTGTTGACGGCGCTAAGGTAAGACAGGTGAGAAAATCGAAATAGATTAAAAACTTAGGAAGAAAATGGACCCCCACAAGAATTCAAAGAAAGTTGTTATACAACAGTCAAATCGACATGTTTATTGACGCTGGGTGCACAATGTTTTGATAATAAAAAATTCAAATACAGTTTTCCTCTTTTTATTGAATTTTTTTTTTTTTTTTTGACTGATAGAAATCTGTCTGGACTGACAAAATTCGCATGGCAGTCAGTCCAAATGACTGACCCTGAAAAAATATTTCAAGAACTCTGATATACTGTTTTCTAATCCAACCAGAGACAACCCCATTTTGTTGGTTTTGGACAAATGTCAACAGAATTGTTTTGTTTTCTGCTAGCCTGATAAATGTCTTTCAAAATATTTACTATCTGGCCAGAAAATTAAAAAAAAAATTTTTTTTGGACATATAGTTGCTGCGGTCCACAGATGATATTGTCCTGCCAGAGCTGGAGAAGTTTTTGGAGGAACGTCAAAAACGGAGGGAAATTCTACAACTGGAGTTAGACAAACAAAGTCAGTCAGCAGAAATTATATATACATGAACATATAGAAGTAACAATTAATTTAGCATAGCCTAATAAATGTTTTGTGATGAAACTTAATTCTGATTGGAGTAATTTACACATTTATTCTACTCAAGCTCATATATACTATATGTAACACGTGTATTTAATATTTACAAGGCAGCCTTGTCAAAGCTTTTAGTTAAGAAACATTTGAGTATATGTCACTGTGAGTAATGTGATGAATTCCAGATGACGAGTTCCGGGCCCACCTGGTAGAGATAGATAGGAACTACGAGCAGGCCCTGTTCCAGAACGATGAGCTACAACAGAGGGTGGAGAAATCCGAGGCTTACGTCCAGAAACTGGAGTCTCGAATCCGATCCCTGGAGCGACGCCTCGGAGAAAACTCACGGCAGACCAAACAGTCAGAACGACAGAAGAGGGAGCTAGAGGCCATGGTGAGGGGGTTATAACGATTGTACAGTGTGTCGTTTAGTTTATAAGCAAAGAAGGAAGAATGCATTCAAGAAATGTCCAAGATTTGAGAATTTTGGAGAATTGTGCATGCATATGCATTTTTTGTTTGCACATTGATTAATATATATTTTTCATATAAATGTAAAATTAAATTATAAATAAATAATAAATTTGCAATTTTTAGTCCTGATAGTTTAGATCATCTAAAATATTTCTGATTAAATAAAAATGAGAGTACTTTGTTTTCAGATTCAAGATAAAGAGGTGAAAATTCGCCAGGAGAAATCAGAGAAGGAACGATTAAAGAACGACTTCAAAGCTAGACTGGACATGAACAACCAACACTGGGAAAGAAATCTAGTGAGTACCATTAATCTGTAACCAATGTACATCATAGATCTTACAATGGTCCCAAAGATAAAAATTTTATTGTGTTATGTCAGATTATTTGTTGAATTTTCTGATAGTTTAAGTGAATATCACCATTTTTCAGGAAAAAGAAAGACAGAAAATAGAACAGGACTATGGAGGACAGATCTGGGAGAGACAACAGAAGTTAAACATGCTGAGGAACATTGTCAACGAGACAGACAGCGATTCCTGTACTCCAATGCCAGCTCCCAGAGAGACCTTCAGGACACCCGCACCGAAGTCCAGGACCCAAACCACCCCAGCCAAAATATTGTCTGCCCGATCAGAAAATGACATGAGAAAAATAGGGACCACCCCCACCCCTCGTACCAGGACAGTCACCACCGGGGCCACACTGAGTGCCGCCCGGGCAAACCTCAGACCCACCACAAAATCTACCTCTACCTCCAAAACCCCCAAGCCTGTTAGTATCTTATTGGAGTACATAAAGTTTTCATGTTTTGTTTTCCATTAGATTAGCAAGACATTAAATCAAAAGGTTATTATTTTTTTTCAAGATTCAATAATTTCATGATAGCAAACTTTCTGACTGGTATGTTCTACATTGAAAAATGTTGTTTATATCAAAGAAAGTTCAAGAATTACCATTTTAGGTAGTAAATTTCTAACGATTTTGTTACAATCAATTTGTCTTGTTTATCTACATTTTTGTTTTTTTTCCAGACCCCGCCCTTCAACCCTCGACACAGGAGGTCAAGGTCATCTAATGCTGAGATCTGGTTGGATCACCGTCCTCCAGGAAGTGTGGAGTTAGGTTGGTTGTCATAGAGATTTTTAGTCAAGATATCTTGTATTGTTTGCTTGTATTTTTTTTATACCTGCACAGTATGATGAAATTAATGGCTTTAATTTTTATTTATTCTCCTGTATATGCACTGAAATAACTACCTATTTAATAACTTTTTTTAACTCTCTTTCCTTCTGCAGTAATTGGTGAGTTGCATACATTACATGTATTTGCTTTAAAGTTTTCAGTTTTGTATTGTACATGTATTTATCCAAGAATCATCTTTCCATCTTTCATGTGCTTTTCATGTAAAATCAAATCCCATTGCCTCCACAAAATCCTTGGAAATGGAGATAACTTGAGATTTTTAGCTTAAAATACATAAGACCTGCAAATCTCTTCAATATAATGTATCAATGGCATTTGAGATTTTTTATGATATGAATCAGAGGAGATTGGTGTTTCCTTTGATTTTTTGAAATTTTCAAATTGAAAAATGAATTTTTTAAAAGAAATACATGTTCTGTAGAATGTTAATAATTTTTTTCTTTGTTGTTTATTTTCAGTTATTTGCACAATGCACATTTAATATTCAATGTTTGATATATTTTTTTTTTTACTTTTACATGTGTACCATAACATAATGCAAGGTTGTTAATTCTATCAGTTCATCATGTTCATAATGAGAATTAACTTTCAAATTTTTATGCTTTTATCTGTTTATAACCTTTAAGAATTATCTTTTTTTTCTGTATTAATTCATTTTGATGGTAAATGTAAATCTAAACAAAAAATATATGTTGAAAATTATTTATCATGTTCATATGTTTTGTTTTTTTTTTGGCAGATACAGTGCTTCAGCCAAAAATAAAGAAGAAGAAATCTGTGTCCAAACTTGAGGTGAAAGATACAAAAGAAGTGTCTAAGTACATGTTAACTCATCAGGACATGGACTCAGAGGATAACCTGACAACACAGATATACAAGGTAGAGGCCTACAACTTCAGTATCAAAACATAGATGATTGGGACAACAATCTCAAAAACAAGATACTACAGTAGTCAGTACCCCGATTTATACAAGGTAGGGCCATAATCTGACTACCAAGCTACAAAAAGAAGGGGCCACAACTGGACTACCTGGAGGATTTACAAGAAGTTTGAGGGGGGGGGGGGCAGTCTGACTACCCAACTACACAAAGTAGAGAGACACAAGTATATAAAGAAGATTATAAAGAAGAAGGACTGAGCTGGAAAGGTTCAAAATCCTTCTTAAAACTTGATTTTATCCCTAAAAAGAGTGTCCTTTACCTTCTTTTTTCTTCACATTTACATGTTTTAATACTGTAAAAATATGTTTAACCTTTTCTCTCAAAGAAAATGAAGAGATATTTTAAATCAGTGATGTGAATAAAGTCACAAAATTTCCTTTAGTTGAAGTGAAAATAAAAATTCTGAAATTCTTAATACTGACCTTTGTCTCTATTTCAGGGTGACTGTCTACCCACGGCTGGTGGAGGGACTGCTGTGGTGTTTAATGATGTGGAAACCCTAAAACAGACCTCCCCCGGGAGCCGTAAGAGGCGGAGCTCCTGTCCCCAGCCCCAGGACTACGAGGGGGACTGGACAGATGTAGAGGACAGGTGTAACATAGCTATAGAGGGACACGGCAATGCTATGAAGTAAGTGTTATACAGGTGTAATATAGCCATAGTGGGGCACGGCAATGCCATGAAGTAAGTGTTATAGACAGGTGTAACATAGCTATAGAGGGACACGGCAGTGACATGAAGTAAGTGTTAGACAGGTGTAATATAGCCATAGAGGGGCAAGGCAATGCCATGAAGTTAGTGTTTATAGACAGGTGTAACATAGCTATAGAGGGGCATGGCAATGCTATGAAGTAAGTGTTACAAACAGGTGTAACATAGCTATAGAGGGGCACGGCAGTGCTATGAAGTAAGTGTAATATAGCTACAGAAGGGCACAGCAATGCTATGAAGTAAGTGTTTGATAACTGTTACAAGGGATGGTACGAATTAAGTGCTGGACAGATTCAACATAGCAATTACGGGTCACAGTATTAAGTGAAAAAGTGTTTAAATCTTGTTATAACCAGGAAAGAAAGTTTGTTGAAGAAATTAATTTTATTTTTGAGATTTCATGATGACATGACCAGTGACACCTCATGCTGGCATGTTTCAAAGAAGGTTTTAGCACTTCATGATAAATAAGAAGGCTGAATGGGTATAGTTCATGTTCCTCATGAATTCCAAAAAATCTATTTCATACCTTATATTTACATTATTTGTCTGATGACTGTTCACAAACAATGTCATTCAATGTCATTTTTGTCAGAAATGATAGAATTTGTATTGTAGTATTGATGTCTGATGAGATATTTATGCTCATACATGGTAGTTCATAAGAAAATGAACTGTTTTCCAAAGAATTGGGAATATAATGGGAAAAGAAAAATATTGTAACATGATCACAAAGTTTTGATTAAGATGTAAATCTTAATCATTACAAAGGCATTTTATGAATTGCAGATCAGAGATGCCTAACCATTTTGCTTGTTAATCTCAATCAAATTTGGTATTTTCTCCTTGATCCCCAATTTTCATGATATTTTTATAATTTTTAAACTTAAGATGCTATTTCTGCAAATTTTAAAATGTGCATTGAAACAAGTATTAAAGTTTTTTGTCATTTAATATATATTTTTTTTTGTAGGAGAAGCAAACCTAATGGTGCTACTCGAGTGTGAATTTTCTGCACATCATAGACACATTATAAACAATTAGTCACCACCACCGATACAGACATTATATCAAATTGTTTTAGTTAATTGACTCCTGTTTTTCAAAATGGTCAGAAAGCACCTGTCCTACATGTATTCTCCATATACTTGATTGTAGTAGCATATTGACCATATTGATGTTGCATCATCATATGATGCGATAAATTCTTGATTTACCTCCCTTAGAATAAGAACTTGCCTTGGTCCCATAGCACTCTCAAAATTTGATGACTTTGTTACTTTGCCATATTATTATATCAATTCGTACTTTCTAAATGATATTTATTATTTAAATAATAGGGATTTATCATGGCACAGCAGACATTGTGATATTTTAAATTTATCTTCCTGTATCAATTGGAAGGCAGGAAAAAAATTTTTTTATCAATATAACTTGATTTTTATGTGTGAACTATATTTTAAATGAAGTTGTACATACTGTGTATATAATTGTAAATATTGTGTCATGAGGTTCATGAATATTTTCCTCTCCCTTTCTCCACAAATTCTGTCTGGGTGCTTTCTTTACTAAACATTTTTCTTCGTCATTTTAGTTCATAATATGGACATCTCACCCCAAATTACAGAATGTTCAATATGTTGTTTTTTTTTTTTTCATTTTTATTAAAGTGTATTTAAAGTGAAATGGTTATGAAAGATAATAAAATTTACTTTCTTTTTTTTTTTTAAGTAGATCTTGAATTTCTTTTGTAATTGATTATAATAACTGTTTCATTTATGTAAATTTTTTGGCTTTCTCCTTCGATGTGTTGTATTTTAATTCCTTATCTTTTTTGTTCCGCTTTTTAGGGTCACAATATTTTTATTACATTTTTTTAGTTAATTTTTTTTTCCAAAAAAAAGAATGTATACACAATAAACAATGCCAGTGATAGTGAGTTTTGTGTCTTTTATAATCAGATTGTGTAGCGTAAATGAATGATTAACAATTATCCATGTATATTCAATGTGGATATGGTTTAGAGATTGAGAATAGCAATGGATTCTCCAGTTCAACACAAATTGAAAAGGATGTACATGTTACAAGAATTGTCTTGTAAAAATAAATGTGCACATGTCTTATTTGCTCTCTCATATCAACTATCCCCTCCAAAAGAGCATACATTGTATCTATAAATAAGGCAGAATTCGTCATCAATGCTGATAAGAATTACGTATCTTCCGTTTCACACGGAATTTACTTGCTCACAAACGAAAACACCTAATTGCAAATCTACATATCCCCTCCAACTCGGTTGCAAGGAGCTAATAATACAATTGCACACTGACCATTTGCAGTGAAGCATCTGAAGTACATTTGTTTTTTCTTCACCGGATGAATAAATTGCAACATTAATGCCCTGTTCACACGGAAAATTTAATTCGCAGTAAATTAATGTGAAGTAAACTAATGCGAATTAAATTGCGTTCACACGACAGCTAATGCGAATTAAAATTTTACTTCTGCACCCCGGCGTCAGCACAGCTATTATGACGTCATTTGCAAATCACGTCACCTCATACTGAAGCAGATCCATTTGACGTAATGGCAAAGTGTCTGTATACACATTTTAATGATTTAAAAACTTTTCCTTGAAAGGTTTTTCACTCATAAAATAGCACAATGGATATAAAGAAGTACCTATAAAAAGCTGACCACCGACAAGTGGCATTTGACTATATTTTGCCATTACGCATGATGTAAAGAATTTAATTCGAATTAAAAATTAGCTTGGCTATAAGCGTTCACACGGAGCTAATGCGAAGTAATTTAATGCGCAATAAACTAATTCGAAGTAAACTAATTCGCATTAAATTCTCCGTGTGAACGCTAAGCGAAGCTAATTCGCAGAAACTTTACGTTTAATTCGAAGTAAACTCTTCGTGTGAACAGGGCATAAGAAAATCACAAATGGCAATATTTGACTTTTATTTCAATTTACTTTTAAATCATTTTGAGATTGCCGTTTATTTACAGAACTTCTACTTTCACTTTGAATCCTTTTGTAGGAGGCACATTAGCATTGAAAGCACTGTCAAACAGCAGCAATAGCTTGCCTTTGGCATCTGACGACGTCTTCACAAAAACGCCACTTCCAGGTTGATGATATCCACATTCCCTAAAAAATTTGATAAATTTTCTTAATGAAATGTTTTTGTATTCAGTTTACATTTCACAATATTAATAATTAATCATGTACAAATTATCATAAAAATTGAATATTTTTGTTTTGTCACCTGATTCCGGTTTGACCAATCAGATTGTATCTGATCTCCACCCAGTGATAACAAAATCTCCGCCATCTATTGAAGGCAATGTGCCACTCTAAGATGGTCATCTTTAACTGTCTGTCTTCTGGACCCTAATAAAACAATGTATTGTAAATCAACTTTTAAAAGAACTCTTGGCAGATACAGGTGCGGACTCGTCTAATGAATTTCAAACAAAAAAGATCTAACTAGTAAAAATTGCAGCATCATACTGCCTGAAAATCTGGCGTTATTTTCCATCTTCCTTCACTGGCTATAAATTTTATTGTTATTCAATGAATTGTTTAAGTTATATAGTATTTTTGTACCTTTATTAACCAGGTACATTTGGCGCCTGCGTTGTAATTGTTAGGGAAATTGGGGGAGGTGATTTCTCGGGTTTCTCCGGCGCTTATTGAGATGATACCACCGCAACCTGAAATATGTGCTTTATTTTGAAGATTTAAATTGTAAGCGATAGGAACTGATTTATTAGAAGTAAATTGTGTTGAAATACAGAAAAAAATTCCTTTACAACATGAATTTGATATTAAAATCATTATTTCACAAAATTTATTTTCCTTCTAAAAAAAATAATTAAATAAATTTATGTTCTGAAGTGGATTTCCAACATTTATGCAGTTTGCTCCCCTATTCTCATAACCGACTTGTAGTTTGCCCCCAAATTCTCTCACCCATTTATAAGTTGTGCAGTTGGAAACATTCTCAAATACTTAACCGGGATTAAGAGTTTATAACTGCTATCGGATCGTCATGATGTAAACCTGTGCCGTATACGTTGTAAATTTTGTATTTACTGTTGTAAATTTTGTATTAGCCGTTAACCGGTTGGCAGTAAAGACAAATTATTTCACTGACAACATGACAGTATTCTCTCCACAACTTACCGGGGTTCGTTTCGACCTCCTGACATCGGGCCCCCTTCAGACCTTTAGGACATAAGCACTCACACCCCTTGTGGACGAATCCGCCATTCTCACACGTAGGTACAGAAGGGCAGTGGTCTACAATAAAAAAAAATGTGAAAAGTAAGAACTTTTTACTGACTCGATGAAAAGGATGTTTGCAGTGATGTCACTAATCTGATGATATTCGAAGTAAACTCTCATATGATGGCAAGACAAATTTTGGTTAAACGTATTTTCTCTAATATATAAATACATATGTACTAATTTTGAGATGGATTCGAAAACTGTTTTTCAATTTTTAACTAGCAAGACAAACATTAAAAAAAATACATTTTGCATAATATTGTGCATAATTTAAGTTAATTAAGTTTCTTGATTACCTGTGCACTTGTATGCTTTTAATTTCAGCCACATCATAAAAGGACATGTTTGCAATTATGAAATATAATCTCCAGCAGCTTGTCTTTAAATTCCATAGTTTTCTGATTACTGTTTAAGGCCTGGTCCTGATGTAAGAAAAACTCTTCAAATAGTCGACTATCAAACATTGTGAGAAACCGCATCGTAATTCTAAATTGTGCTCACATCTGCTATAACTGTAAGATTATGTGTAGATCACTTACGTATAGTCCATATTGAAGCACGGACTCAGCATCATACGGGTATCTGTCGTACGTTGGATGAATATTCATGTTTTTGTTACTGGTACCGCCCACAATATTGCTGTAATTTACAGTAATGTAGTGATCTCTGTCGTCACGTGACTGCTCGTGGTGCATGCCAGCTGCGTGCATAAGCTCGTGCAGTATCGTCTGCACCTAAAATAGAGGAAAATGAAAACAGAAAATTATACAGTTGCATTTAGGAAGATACAAACATCTCAAAATACATTTGCATTAAGGATAATATATGATACATGTGGAACTTTCGGTCAGTGTTACATGTTATATATATATAGTGCCTAATATATTTGGTTAAACTTCTTTTGTTTTCATAATTGTAAACATTCTACATACAATTTACCGTCCGTGTCTCTGATTTTATGTCTCATTTTCTTTTTATCTTGCTTTATTTCACAAATATTTCCATTTCTATCTGTTTTTTTTCTGTAATACGCTCCCCAACTTTCTTTTGGTGAAAATTGGTAAGCTTCATTTAATAAGGCACTCTATGCATCTTAGACTTTAACAACCTTTTTTTTCTATGTATACCATGTATATTGCAAATTTTTGCATTGCGCATGAGCGCACGTGCATGCAAAAGCAAAATGACCATATCATTTTATCTACACTATCAATAGTCTTTAATGTACCTAATATTAAGGCATCTAATTAAAAACTTTTCAAAAATACACAAAATCAAGTGCAATTGTAACTTTACGCATTGTACGTGCACGCACGTGCATGCATGTGCTTAATGCCCATATCTTCTTGTAGGAGTTCATTATGGTTGTCTATGTTCTAAATCCCATCCTGTTTGGTTAAAAAACAAGGGAGTTATAGCCATTTTAAGTTCAAGCCAATCAGATTGCAGCGCACGTGCATGCGCATGTTTTCACGACAACTGTTATATATCATATTGTAGGACATTCTAATACATGACTATGTTTAAAATTTCAAAGCATTTCGTCAAAAATTAAAAAAGATATTGCGATTTTTGTTTCGGCCAATCACAGCAAAGCGCACGTGCACGCACGTGCATGCATGTGCATGACGACCATACTTCCTTGTATGAATCAATTATGTGTGTCTATGTTCTAAATCCCATACTGTTTGGTTGAAAAACAAGGGAGTTATAGCTATTTAAAGTTTAAGCCAATCACATTGCAGCGCACGTGCATGCGAGTGTTTACATGACAATTGTTATATCTCATATTGTAGGATATACTGAAGTATACCCATATTTTAAATTTCATAGCATTTCGTCAAAAAAACAGAAAAGATATTGCGATTTTTGTTTCAGCCAATCACAGCAAAGCGCTCGTGCATGCGCGTGAGTTCGTGCTAATTTGATAGTGTCACATTATCTACAGTATAAATATATCTTTATGTAATGAGTTTCTAATCATTTCATCAAAAAATGTAAAAGTAATAGCTATATTAAGTAAATAAGTCAATTTACTCATTTCACGCGCACGCACGTGCATGCGTATGCGAGCAAAATGACCTTCGTTCCGCACACCAACACTACACACCTATTAACCCTAAAAAGGTTTTAGCTCAGTTGGGTGAAGTTTTGCATTACGTCCGGAGAAGAAATCTAATTTAAGAAACAGATGCATGTTCCAGCGTAAACAGTACATGTAGAAGTAACATGAAGTTGCATTATTGGCAAACGAGTTCTTTAAGGCATTTAAAACCTAACTGACTGCTGCAAATCACGAGACAATGCGTAAATTTGAATAAAGCAATACGCATGACCATA